CTTATGAGGAAGTCGGTGCTTTCCAATTGTTAGACTGCAAGTGTACAGTTTCAGCCAATACACATTAAGTCAACTGATTATGAAAACTGTATTTCATAACAGGCAAGCATCAGATACACAATCAAATTTACCATTTTAAAAAAAGGACCAGAAAATATAATTTCCATGAAACTTCTTTTGAGATAATTTTTTTTTACATTACATTTCGAGTATTTATTGGAGATTAATGGCAGTTATTTGACTTTTCAATTGTATGTTTATAACATGTCAATGGCTCAGATTCTTGCCTTTTGGGGGGTTTGGTAGGAGTCAGTTATTTCTGCTGTTAATCATAAAACTTGACTTGTAGCTTAAATTGCTGGGGCAAACCTTTTTTTTTTTTTTTTTTTGAATGCATAACAATTTACTGTCCTCTTTGTGTAGTTTGTGAATTGCTTGGGTATGAAACCAACTTGGCAATTTGGAGATGTGTATGGACTGGATCCAGAGCTTCTCAGCATGGTACCAAGACCGGTGTGCGCAGTGCTGCTCCTCTTCCCCGTGACTGAGAAGGTACTTGTTGTTACTCCCAACAGCTTTGGCATAAAATAGGCTTATTGTACATTTGTGAACAATACATTATTTATCCACTATTTTAGTGTGTGTGCATGTTTGAAACATAAATTCTGCACATGTTGTACAGACCCTTGTTTATGCCATAAGAAACCCTGTTCATGAAATGTATTTTCTCTTCTGTCTCTGTTCAGTATGAGGCCTTCAAGCAAGAAGAGGAAGAGAAACTGAAGGATCAACGACAGGAGGTTTCTCCTGATGTCTACTTCATCAAGCAAACTATTGGAAACGCATGTGGAACAATAGGATTAATCCATGCCGTGGCAAACAACCAGGCTCACCTGGAATTCGGTGTGTAGAAGTTATTCCATTTATGTCCTATGCAGCATTAAAATGTGATTATTTGATGGTAATATGTGACATGGCTTTTTTAATTCTAAACTCAGGGTTACATTAACATTAAGGAATACATTAGTGTTACCGCACAGACATTTGTATAACTTAGTTTTAGACCTTGAATGTATCATAACATTACACTTGTATCAACCTACAGTGTAATCCAAACACTTTTTTCCTTGCAGACATTTCTTTCCTCCTGGTCTTACTGTTTGTTATCCTTACTCCTCAGAGTCCGACTCGCCTCTGAAGAAGTTTATTGAACAAACCACTAAAATGACTGCGGAGGAAAGGGCCACGTTCCTGGAAAAAGATGAGGTAAGAGACGGATGAGACAATGACGTTTTTAGAGATACAAAGAAAAGACTTAATTGAGTCCTCGATCTTTTCACAACAACAAATTATGAAGTTTGGAAATTTTGTTCTGACCTTTGAGTCAGTCAGGGGGAGAGGACAAAACTAAAAGTTACTAAAATTCAATGAAATGGTTAATAATTGTGGAATTGTGTCACATGTTACATCAAGATTGATGCACCGAACCTGGGGGGACAAAGCCTTCTCCATAGCTGCCCCCTCCCTCTGGAACTCACTCCCAACACATATTCAACACTGCACCGACCCTCCTACTTTCAAATCACTGATCAAAACTCACATCTTTAAACAAGCTTTTAATGTATGATCGTGATGTATTTTCTGTTTTCTGTAGTTTTACCTTTATTGTCGTTATCTTTATTTGTGCGTAATGTTGCAATGTCTGTTAGTCTGTCTTACTGTGCTGTTCTTTCTGTTTTTAACTATTGTAAAGTGGCTTTGAGTTTTTTAAAAGCGCTTATAAATAAAATGTATTATTATTATTATTTAAGTATGAAGTAGACCAATAAAACGATCATGAACTACAGTACAAAAATGTGCATTACTGTCAAGTCATGGGCTTCTTTTCCTTCTTTGTGTTTCAGAGTATACGTGTGACACATGAATCCAGTGCACAGGAGGGACAGACTGAGGTTTGTGTTGAGTTTCACATGGTCTCTGCTGACCGAGGAGGCTTCTGACAAATATAAAAACCTGCTTTTTGTTGCATGTCATTAACTTCAGAGCCTCAGAGAACTGCATGAGTATTTCTTGTCTGTTGCAGGCCCCGAGTTTGGACGAGAAAGTGAACCTGCATTTTATAGCTTTTGTGAATGTCGGAGGACATTTATATGAGCTGGGTGAGTTAACTACTGCTGATGTATGTGTATATAAACTATATGTACAGTAGTTGTATTTGTCACATTGTTGATGGCAGTAGTTTTAATTTCACGTTTTTTGTCATATCTAGATGGCCGGAAGCCTTTCCCTATTGTCCACGGAAAAACTTCAGAAGATACTTTCCTCGAGGTAAGACAAAGAAACAAATCATGGTCACAGAAATAAACTCTTTGGATTGAAAAGACGAGTTGGAAATCGTCATTTACATGATTTGTCGGATTCCCCCCCGCAGGACGCTGTAGCGGTTTGTAAGACCTTCATGGCTCGTGACCCTCAAGAGGTTCGTTTCACCATCATCGCACTCTCCAAAGATTCCTACTGAGGAAACGCCATCGTGAAAGAAAAAAAGATGAAGCATGACTGCCAAACATTCTCAAGTGCTGACTTAATCCGAAACTACAATTCTTTTCTCAATGCTTTAGCAAAGTGATTGGAGGGAAATACTTAAATGTCAGGGAAATCATTCTAAGGAACTTTCTTGTGGTACATCACTTGTTGTTGGTGTGAGAATGTCGGGTGCTGCTTTGCGACTTAAAAAGTATTTCTTGTTCAGATCAAAATCTTCCAGTTCCTTACTTGCGAAGACATCTCCCATCACTGTCAAACAGATGATAGCTGTACAACATACACATTGCACTAAAGTCTGTTTACATGGCTTGTTTGGCTTTTCAGTTTAAACAACTTTCCTCGTCGCTGGGGGAATTTTGATGTCGAGGTGTTTTTGATCATGTGTCCCACCACTTGGTTCAAAACCTGAGGAGGAACGACGTTTTGCTATAGGCTCTTATTTAAGTCATGGCTTTGACTCAAACGATAAGCTTGATGCTGTTATATGCAGTAATGATGTTATGTAACGCTAATTAAAGAAATAAAAAATGTCTCCTGTAAGTGAGGCTCCTTGAAAAGTGCAGACTGTACATCCGTGTGGAAGGTGCCTACATTTTTGTAATAGGAATCCAATTCTGTCAAATAAAAGGCAAATTTAATAAAAGTCACACTTGTGGATCTTCTGTGTAACACGAAACATCTCTTCACCTGCCGCTCTTCAAAAGAGTTTCAAAAGTCATTTGGCTCACTGGTTGACACTCTCAACAACTGAAACATGAAAAATGGTTAAACACTTTTATTGCAATCAGGAATGTGCCCATAACTGTCGCAGAGAAGAGATCACTTTAATTGTGCCTTGTCTTTTTTTCCTTGAATAAGCCTGTCCCTGCAGTTTTGCAAATCTCTTATCTTACATGAAAAAAGAAAACATGAAATTTGCTCTTATGAGGAAGTCGGTGCTTTCCAATTGTTAGACTGCAGGTGTACAGTTCAGCAATACACATTAAGTCAACTGATTATCAGAACTGTATCTCATATCAGGCAAGCATCAGATACACAATCAAATTTACCATAATAAATGTGTAAAAAATATTTCCTTTCAAAGAAAAGGATCAGAAAATATAATTTCCATGAAACTTCTTTTGAGATAATTAAGAAATAAATTGTATTTTTTTTACATAGCAATTCGAGTATTTATTGGAGATTAATGGCAATTATTTGACTTTTCAATTGTATGTTTATAACATGTCAATGGCTCAGATTCTTGCCTTTTGGGGGGTTTGGTAGGAGTCAGTTATTTCTGCTGTTAATCATAAAACTTGACTTGTAGCTTAAATTGCTGGGGCAAACTTTTTTTTTTTGAATGCGTGAAGCAGAACATCTTCTAACGTCGGGCAGTCCTACACAGAGGCATTTTTGATTTGTCTTAAATCGACTCCTAGTGATGCCTTATTTTAGCTCAGATAAAGTCTGCGTCCCACAGACTGATCAGGCGGGGGATTTTTTTTTGCCTTCATCCTTTCCACTGACGGTAAGGAACAGATCTCTTCAGGGCCAATATGAACAGGAAGAGTGGCTACAGCAAGCGAAACCTGTTCCTATGCTCACACCAGAGAACTGACTATTGATCTTTTAGGCCATGTGATTCGCTAAGTCATTAACAACTTTAAGGTAAACCACATCTTAAAGTTTCTACTAATGTGAGTCATGTTTATGTGATGTGGGCCTGACCTTAGATGAACATTTTAAAAGAAAAGTTCTCAGGAGGAAAAACATCTTTGCTTATCCGCTTCAATATTCTTGAGCGCCTCCTACTTAAACCTGAGATCCTGTTAGTCTTGGCAATTACATTTGGCCTTGAATACTTGTCATGCTTTCAAAATCATCACAGCTGAAATATAGTTTTCTTTTGTCTACACCACAAAACAGGATTGAGCTCCAAACAGGAGAGTCACTCTTATACTGCCCGTCTGCTGCCCGCCTGTTTCTTGTAATAAGAGGGAAGAAGATGACAGAAGGATAACTTGAGTAATTATTTTTTTTCACACTTCTTTTCCAGAAAAAAGACACATGAATATGTATTTTTAATAAAACATCATGATCTATGAGGCCAATATGTTTAATAAAGATGTAAAAAAAGTGGTCATGTTATATTATTAATAATGAATCAAAAGCTTTTGTACGGTCAAATACAATTCGAACTATATGATAACATGTTTAAAAGAAAAAAAAAACATTTTAATCTTCAAAATCAACAAATAAATGTACAATATAAGTTAAATTTATAATTCAAAGAAACACACAAAATTGTAAAATGATGTGATGCTTTCATATAGTTACATTTTTGCACTAAATCATTAGTTTTAAGGTCATTCAGTTCAACATTAGCACCGCTGGGGGGCGGTGCAGGAAAGAGATTTCTTAAGAAAGGAAAAACTCTTTCAAGTAGAAAAGTTTTCACTGAGACTGAAACTTTCTTTGCTTGTTGTCCATATGTCCACACTCCTCTTCTGGGGATATTTTGTTCTGAGTGAACGCTTTTTTTTTATTGGATATATGATTCGGTATGGGAAGGAAATGTTTCCGAGCAGCAGTGGAAACCTGGAATGAAACGACTTTAGAAACCCTCAAACGTTCACCTGGAAGCCGCGCATGGAGAGACCCTTGGGTGGTCCTCGAACCCCGCTTTGGAAACGACCCTGCCCCTGCCTCCACCTCATGCAGCTTCTGAGGTAGAAAGTCAGTTCTTTTAGTGAGCTCAGGTCGACTCGTTTTGTACCGCTGCATAGGTGGAGCAGTAATCAAGTGTGGAATTATCTACCTAAGAAAAACCCAACGCACAGCACAGGTGTGTCGGATGAAAGAACAGGTAAGCAGCAGCAGCAGGAGACACAGTGATGCAGAGGGAATGTGTTTCTGTTACACCTTGCATTGATCCACTGATGAGCTCTATGAACAATAGACGACATTTCTCATGCATGAGTGTGGTTATACGTGCGCCCGTGCCCTCCTACACACTGCTGGACGGGTTTTATTTATAAGTGTCTGCTTTTGTGAACTTTCTCACATTTGTATTCACTGGACCTTTTTACCTTTCACATGCGGTGCCACTGCTAGGAAGCCATTGGACATTCTCCGGAGCAGCTCGGGATAATACGCGTTTTGTGATGGAGTGGCGTGAGCAGTCTGCTGTCAGCAGTGATGAAGCCTACTTGGAGGCGCAGAGGTGGATTGAGGTAAGCAGAAATTTTCAAAATGACCTTTTTTTTCTTGACGTGTTTTAAGTGATCTAGCTTTAAAAAATCATAAAAAAAAGTTGGCAAAAAAAAGTTGACTAACCTGAATATGTCAATCCAGGAAAGTGTCTCTATTATGTTCTTTCTGTTTGAAGGCTTAATCTCGTGTATGATGACAGTATTACTCATCTCTGAGTGCACTGGAAAGACTAATGTGGTGGTAAAAATGTGCTTTTCTTTCCCATACATTCCATAACTATGCTGTCTAACTTTAACTTTAGATTTTTTGCTTCACACTTCAGGAAATCGAATCTTTGACAAAGAGATGGAAACAGAAAAGTGTCACTCTTGATCTCAAGTCTTAGGTTGCTGCATCACTATAATATGTCTGTGTTATCATCATGTGGCTTTAAACCATTCCAAGCATTCTCGTTGAGTACAGCTACATGGATCTGACCCCTTTTTTCTAGACAGTTTTCTTACTGCCTCAGATCTTAACGCAGACCTGCTATTTAACTTTGTATGTTTCCGAAGGCTGTAAGGCTACAGTTACAAGCATTTAACTCAGCAGAGTAATTAAGGAAATCTTTTATAAATGATCTAAGTTGTTGAACCTGACGCCTACTGTAAGCACAGGTCAACCTGGATACTTACACTGACTGAATGTCCACATGGTTTTTGGCACTTGTTAGACTCTTTGCCATGCACAGGAAGTTCAAAAGTTCCAGGTTATTTCAGGTGTTAGTAATGAATACAAAATAAAACAGGCACATTTATGGAAAATATGTAATATGATGGGCAAAAAAATGCAGTTTTTATGATCCTTCTCAGGGCATAAATAACGACTAACCACCAAAATCTTTCCGACAGTCCCTTTTTGATTCCCATAATGTCAAACTATGTAAAGTTTTCCGTCCAACTTCCAGCCAGACTCTCAGTTCGTTCTTTTCTTTCTTTACAAGCGAAGTGAAATTATGTTTCCTTCTCCTCGTCGGCGGGGAGGCGTGGAGCTGCGGCATGGCAGTAGCTAAACAAATGTTGTTCTAATTTCACGAGGAGGGAATCTGAATGCTTGTGATGTGACATCAGTGTCTCTCGCACTCTCACACTGGCCCATTGTGGTGGCTTTACCTCGTGGAGCTGTGGAGGGAGGAGGTAGATTGTGGGGGGGGGGAGTAAGGAGGAAGTGAATAGGTATAGGACTATAAGGGTACAAGCCACTGGATGCGTTTTTTCTTTAGATATGACAGATTTGGTGTTGTGGAAATAAAGAGTAATCAGAGAGGGAGTTCTGGCACGGTTGGGGAAAACAGTTTCCCTTCAAAGAGTGAGCTTTGCGGTTATTGGATTCTGCCCCTGAATGATTAACAAACTGCTCAGCTTCACGGAACTTTAAACAGACGCATGTGTGCATGGCGAGGTTGGTGGTATTGTTAAAAAACGAAAATGGTCTGGAGCCTGTCACATGGACGCATTCCTGCATTAGCTGCCATGGCTGTGAACATATTTCCCCTCAGAGCTGGCCAGCTGTCAGCACAGGGCGCCGCGTCCTGCTACCACAGGGCTCGCTGGAATAATAGAGGTCCTTGTTAATTGGATAGAAAAGGCTGTAAGTGTGACTGTTATGACTGTCGAGAACAAGCGGCGTTGTTAATGCAACCCAAAGGTCAGAGCGGCATGCATATGGCCGTCTGTTACACAAACACTTTCTGTCACATTATGTCTGATTGACGGCCTTTTCTGCTCCCACCGATGGCGTTAAAGTGATTGCAGACGGTTATAGTAATAAATCACAAGCAAAGGTACGAGTGCCAGTAACATTATGTAAGTTTTTTTAAACCAGTTTGGCTTGACCAGTATTAGTTTCAAAAATCTTCCACTCGGGAAAGGTGTTTCCTGTAATACTTGGAACACCTCTTTAAACAGGTTTTAGGCAGAGTTTCACTTCAGCCATTGATCTAGTTTCAGGTCGTGTAACAACAAAGGCTTTAATCTTTAATCTCCATCAGATTTCAGCTCAACTTTTGATTTTTACTCATTAGCACTTCTTTGTGTGTCTGGTTGAAATAGTCTGGAATCAAGCAGCCAATCAAAGGCAACACATTCCTCTCAAGTTTTTTTTTTTTTCTTAAATTTTTCCATGTAACACTGAACCCACTACAGGACTCCTCATGGTGTCCATTAATATTGAACATGTTTGAATTAAGGGAAGAAATAATTGAATTGTCAATTAATCTGCTAATTGTTTTGTAGTTTGTTATGGACTTTTATTTTGTAGTAAAAAAATGAATGGTTTGTATGTCATTTGTTGAGTTGAGGTGTAAATCCTCTTACATATTCAGGCAGGATGTTGCTGTCAACTATTAGAATATTTTTTTATAATCACAGATTTAATGAAGTTGTATGGTCATTCCAGATCAACAGTAGATAATACAGCTAGCCATGAGTTCAAACTATTTACAATTAAAAACAAAATAAGATGTCATATCAAATAGTCAAACGATATATAGATGAATAAGGCGTAGTTGAATGTGAGTGAGGGGAGAACACCTGCAGGAGATTTACAGTAGTAGAATAAAAACAGGTAGCATCATTACACCTGTTATCAAAGCAAACTCAATTCAGTCCCCTCCTCGAGTATTCATTCAGTGGCTTAAACCTCAAGGCTTAATATCTGACAACATCAAAAAACACATCTCTGCATGGTTTAATATCAGTAATTAGAGAGCATGTTTCTGTAATCAACAAAACGTGTTTAAACTGTTTCAATGTTGTTTGTTTTCCCTTTTTCTCCATTGTTGATGCTGCAGCCCTCGGCCCTCATAAATAGCCTTCCCTGACCTCTGTCTCGAAGTTGTTTTTCAAACCGGGATCTGACTGACTGAACCGGTCATTAGTCACCTCATTGTAGCTCCATTCTGTGTATTAACTGTCTTGATTGGGGAGCAATTAGCAACTAGGACGCATGCATTCAGATGTACTCTCGTGAAGCCGAAACCTCACACAAGAAAGCCATTCACTCCAGATTCATGTTGACGCGGGCGCTTTTATTCTGAAATGCTGATGGTGTAGATACCATTCTATTCCGAAGTGGTATATTTATCTCTTGATAAGATTGCCAAAGTATTTGTAGAATGTCCCAGCTGACCTCACATGACCTCTGTGCTGTGGAGAAGGACCAGAGAAGTTTAGGGACAATTAAACCTTGAATACTGATTTGCCTCAGTGCCCTGCATGAATAAACAATGGCTGTGGTCACGGACCCGGAGACTCCTCAATTTTACCGAGACACCATTCTTGCTTCCCGGCAATAATAATAATAATGAATTTCACACATGTTTGGGAACACTTTAACCCTCCAGACCCAAATAAAACTCACCTAGATCCCTCACTTAAAATAGATATTCATTGACCCAATACCACAAACAGATTGGAATCAAGCACTTCAGATTAAAGCTCCTGTGCTGACTTTTTTAGCTGGATATGAAACAGGCTGAAATTGATAATGATGTCTTTTTATGACCTCAAAAAGCAAACCAGACCATGAGCCACATGAAAAATTATTTCTTTATTGTTTTAAATAATGCCTGTAACAGCTGCTGGTAGGTATAGAACATAAAAATTCAGCAAAGAGATAAGATGTACCACTTTGTCCACAGGGGGCGCCAAATCGACATAAATGAAAACATCCTCAGAGGAGCTTTAAACTTATTATAAAAAAAAACACAACTTCATCTTTAATTTGATATGTATATGGCTCCTCACATATGATTTACTTCATTAACATTATTCATGCCTGACATGGTGCAAAAACACGATGATTTAATGAAAACAAATACTCAAAGCTCTTCTTCCAAAAAAATGCCTAGGTTTGAGTTCGGCCCCTGGCTCCTTTACTGCATGTCATACCCACTCTCTTTCCCTGGTTTCCTATGCCCTATCAAATAAAGCCTCCCCCCAACAACAAAATCTTGTACTGCATGAAACTAAGACATGTCTGCACCTTTATCCCCCTCAGCAAAGCTCTATAAATGAACAGTTAAGTGATTTTTGGAAATTCTCATTAGAAAAGAAAAAACTTTTTCAGCCATTTTTAATGTTACACAGACGAGCTGTTATTGAAAAACTCTGCCCCAGCCTCAAATCTCCCCGCTAAACCAGAGCAGCAGTATGTTGCTGCAGATTAGACTTGTTATCCCACATGGCAGGTTCAACAGGAGAACAGGGGGAGGGGAGGGGAGGGGAGGGGGGCACAGCAGGCTTGGATCTGAGGGGAGTTAATACCTCTAATGATGACGATAGAGAGGAGAAAAGTATTTTGTTACAGCCAGATTAGTGCCAGGGAGGGCCCCACATTAAACACATAGACTGGGGAGATAATGTCTTGTTTTTCCTTTTCAGTCTGTTGGCTGATGTCATGTGTAATCTCTAAGAGGGGGAACATCAAAGTAATAAAACACCTGAAGGCTGCAAGAAGGGATTAGAGTGAACGTGTTGTTTCTGCCTGTACTGTCTGTTTGCATGCATTCTGCTGCCCCCACATACATAGAACAGTAGGGGTCAGGATTTCATATGCCAAGTGCTGCAGCGCCTCACTGATCACACACTCAGTATGTGTGTGTGTGTGTGCTTGTGCGTCTGTAGCTTTGTGTTCTTAGCTGTGTTTTCAAACCTTAACTGATCAGGGGTTTTTTGAATTGAAGAGTAAGAGGGCTGAGATAACATTGTGTAATCTAGAGGAATGACAAGTATTTAAGGACACAACCATCTCAGGTTTCCCAGGGTGTGTCCTGAGGTGTAACACGACTTTGTTTGAAAATAATAATAGTGTCCTCCACTCAGTCAATCCGTCTAATTGGCCTGCTTCTAGTTTCTCCTGCTCCACTTAAAATGACGGCCCATAGTTAGCGATGGGCGGTAATTGTCCTGGATTCTCTTAAAATGAAAAGGGCACAAAAACCTAGTAACACAACACATCTCATCAATTTGATTTTGTAAGACTTGTTGGACTTGTTTTGCATTGTGTGCACACAAGATAGTGTGCAATTTGGTTAATGCCAGCTGTCTCATCTTACTGTACAGTACGTGTGCTCATCTGCTCTATTTGCCGAGTAAATTAATTGATTTACTTGCAGACCTAAAATCAAACACACACAGAAGGTGAAGTGAGGGAAGTGAAGCTGCACAAAGTGATTTCATACTTCATTACATGCACCCAGTGACCATTTGATAAGGTACACCTATATCTAATACTATATATATATCTAGTGAAATTTATAAGAAACATCCAAAAGTTTTCAGACATTGGAGCATTTCTGCAAACTACTTGTGTAGCACTTTGTTGAAAAAATACAGCAATTGTATTTCTCCACCAGAGGGGTTTCCAGAGGGGTGGCCAGGGGTGGTATGGGCCCCCATTGAAATCTTATTGGCCACCCCAGGTGCCACCCTCAAATCCTTAACTCTGATTGGCTATTTGCCTTGCCAGTGGTGGGACATGTGTTGAAATCCTCTTTTCAGGCTGTGTTGCAACAGGCAGCTCATAGTTTTCAGTGTGCAGATGTTTCGTTTGCAATTTTTTGCGTTTGGACATGCACCTTTTGAAGAATTAGGCTTAGAAGATATATTTGTTGTCATTACCTTGTGTGACTCAACAGTTGATGTGATTTCTGCAGACAGAAAGGGTAAATACATGTTCTTCATTCATGTGTGTGCACACAAACTTCAGGCCACCCCTGCAGGAGTCAGTGCCCCAGTTGGGCCACCCCAGTCCAAAAGATCTGGACATGCCCCTGTTCTCCATGTATATATGTATTTTAGATTTAATCCATTTATCAAAAAACATCTGACTCCACCTTAAGCTTAATTTAAACATATTGCACCTTAATTACAAGATTGAACCTGCATGCAGTGCTTTTTTAGTGCAGGATTAAAACAGAACAAATTAAAAAATATATATAAATAAATACATCAGTTAAACAAGTATGACAATTACAATTTTAAAATCCAGTTATTTACACTTAAATGTGAAGAATATATCCCCGTAACAATAATATCACCCTAACCCTTACCCTAATATCACCAGTAGTTAACACTTAAAGCAGCAAATGAAGCAGCACCTAAAGCAAAGGGAGTCTTTAAAACAGACTTCTATAAAGTGTCTAAAGAGGTTGATCAAATAAAAGTAAGTAAATGAATATTCATAAAACAACAAGAGATTTTAATATAATTGTGCAAATTCAGTACATACACTCTTGCAATTGTTTTTAAGTAAGTACTTGTGTTGGTTTTAGTAGCTCAGGTCCTGATTGGTCAAGGCGTTGATGGTGAAAACATTCCAACAAAACGGAGCAGGAAGCTGTTAAGGAGTGGCCTTCAGTATGAATGTGATATGACATAACAAAGCATGTAATGCAGATTTCATCTAAGTTACAGTTTGCAGATGTGTTAAAGGACAAAATCAAGGGTTCTGTTTGTGTACTGTATGCATTGTGTTACAGTGTGTAAGGCTGCACGTCATGCATGCAGTGTGTGCATGTTTCCCTGCATAATGACTCTTGGTGTTCCCGCGGCGGTGGTTTTGAGATCATGAGAAAGGCATGAGGCTATAACACAGCGCTGTGCTCCTCCACAGCTCCAGATGCTGCCATAGCTTGCCTCTGCGGCTTGGGCAAGCCTGGCTCCAGCACAGATTTAGCACAGCTTCTCGCGTTTTTCCAGCAACTCTTTTCACATCGAAGCAAGGAACAACAAAGCACTCAGCACCTTCTGAGGAATACCTGAAGAACTCAACTCTCTCCCAGAGACACACTGTAGGAACTCAGGAGGAAATACCTCTGACTTCCTCTGCTACTGTTCTCAACATCCTACCTTTCTTCTCCCAGCCCTCCCCACACTAACCCCACCCCACCTCTCCTCACCCAGCCCCTTCTCGCTATTTTGCTCACTGTTTTTGTTTCCCTTTTTCTTTCCAGGCTGTAACCAAGAAAAATTCGGGAGCAACGACTTCCGATCAGCACTGGAGAATGGCGTTCTGTTGTGTGAGTAAGTATGCTGCTTTTTCCCAGGCACCTTCTCTTAAGCCCTACTCATTCATACGGGATCCCTCCGCTCTCCTCCAGGTCTACGTAAGTGTTGCTGATATTTCCCAGGCGGACCCCCCGCCGGGTCACTGTTTGTTTGTGAGCCCAATAAAAGTGAGCCTCTGTTTTCACGGCTGCACAATAGAGGCTGTTATCTGTAGTTTTTTCTTTGAATGTTTTCAAGCTTCAGATCTGCCCTCTGTGGTCTTGTTTGAGAATATGAAGTGTGATCTATTTTCAGAGGAGTTGTTTTTTTTGCATGTGTGACAGATGTTAGAGATCTGTGGACGGGCTGAGTGCCCATCCTTACTCTAATTTGAGCTGTGCAGTGAATGGAAAGCTTCTTTTTGAAACCACATTGGGAAGCAAGAGCAGCCTGCTTTCTCATTAGCTCGTCTGCATCAAGAGTTTTGATGAGCAAATTTATCTACACAGAAATGTCTTTTATTCAACAACTCCTCCTCTAAGAGTTGTGGCTTTTCTTAGATCTGTGTGTGTGTGTGTGTGTGTGTGTGTTACAAACAGAGTTAGCATCATGTCCCTTTCTGCATGTGTGTGTGTGTGTGTGTGTGTGGGATGTTCTGGTGGATGGACACAGTGATGGGATTTGCACGAATCAGCAGGAAGCTGTAATTACAAGCAGCCCCATGCAGAATCTTCCAAACCTCTATTGGCTTCGATTCAGGGGAGAAGCGCTCCATTCTGCTGATTTGAGCCTGACTCCACTGTTCGCTCACTCTCGGGGAACATCAGAGACACTTCCATTCGCAGAGCTGTCCGTGTTTTCTCAGCATGAGGAAGGGGAAGACGGGAGATTAAATCGCTTTCACCTAGAAACTCAGCGTCCTGTCCCATTGTGTTGTGGTTATCTCGACAGCTTGGGGAGGATTGTTTAGTGCGGGGTCGCACACATGATTATATCCTACTTGGCTGACAGAGTGTTTGTTATCTGATGAAATCATTACACGTTTCTATTGTTTCACGGCTAAATGAGCAACATAGACCCAAATGCCTTTTGCATTCTTTCTTAACAACTATTGTTTTACCCCCCCCGCAACATCCCATCCACCCCCAAGTCTGTCTGCTGAGAGAGCAGAAGATAAACACAGTAAAAACAACCAAAACCACTTAATCTATCAAAAGATTTCATCTTATGTTGAGATTTAAGATGAAGTTAGTGAAGCTATACACAGTTTTTTTTAATTCTTAATTACGTGCACATTTTATTTGGTATATCTAGCTAAAACCATTTCAACTGATATTAAAATGAAATGTCAAAAAGTTTTCAGACACTAGAAATTATTATGATCATTTTCTGCAGTTTATCAGTGAAGTAGTGCTTTAACTAATCTTTAACAAGCTCACTCTTCCATGTCTTCATTGTCCTTCAGATTACGTCATCAGATACAGATATAAAACAACTGGTTTTCCAGTCTTTAACATCAGATTTATTTTGTAGTGTAAAACCTTTAATGTAAGAATGCAGCCCAGAGTAAATCCAGTGTGTCTGCAGAGAGAGAAGAAGATGAACACTACCTTAACAACTACTGGCCTCTTCACATCTGATGTTGGGTTAGGGTTAGGGTTAGGGCTCGTGTATTTCTTCTTCTCTATATTTAGATTTGACTCACAAAACATAACTACTAGTCCATCCAAAGCATTATTGAATGCTACGCGTTACTGCCTCTGTAAAAGCAATCCAATGATACACTGTGTCTGATGATGTCACATCTTTAAAGGGGTATAGTAGAATTAAAGCTCATAAAATGTGATGTTGAGCATTTTTTAAGTTACCTTTCATGCTTTAATTCTTAAAATTTGAGGTTTCAGGGGCGCCAGTAGCCTAGTGGTTAGTGTGGGCACCCTATGAGTGGAGGCTGGAGTCCATCAATGGGCGGCCTGGGTTTGAATCTGACCTGTGGCTCCTTTCCTTTTCATGTCATTCCCCACTCTCTCTCTCTCTCTCTCTCTCTCTCTCTCCCAATTTCCAACTATGTTATCCACTGTCCTATCTCTCTAATAAAGGCATTAAAAGCCCCAAAATAAAACCTTTAAAAAAAATGTCTTCTTCTCATGTTGGACAGTATTCTTCCATTTCTTATCTTACAAATAGAGCAAATAATACATTTTTAAGTGATTCAAATGTTGCTGGCCAAAAAGACATGGGGCCCATATTCACAAACATTCTGAGAAAACTCTCAGAGAGCTCCTCGCTTAGCTTAAAACGTCCCAGCAAGGGTTGATTTAGGAGCAGATTTGGGAATATTCCCAGAGCACAGTGTACAGAAACATTTATCTTAGCGAGGAGGTGATGTATGACACATTTCAAAAGCTGTGATTGGTTAATACAAATACAATCAATTTCTCTTAGTGAAATGGATTAGACGTAATCATATAATCTAGTTAAACACTGTGTAATTATGAGCACTATGCAATTAACATCTCTGTGTGATCATTTGTGAGACATACTTTAAATAGCCTACAAAATGTTTGAAATCAGATGCCCACTTGTGCAGCGGCCTCTTCACATGCTGATCATAACATCAGAACGTGAAAGCCTAAATTGGTGATTGGAGGTAACACATGCAGAGAAACTCAACATGCATGTCTCACACTTTGCACTAATTAAAATCATAGATGGATTGAAATGTCTGCATGAATAATTTTGGCTGTTCGCCCCAACTATGAGTCAATAAGAATATTCTTCATATGTTGTGTGAACGTGTTTGGAGAGCATTTCTCAATTTCCTCCTCAGCTTGAGAAACTCTTAAGCCTGTTAAAAATCCTCCTCAGTGCTCCCAACAGTTTAACAACTTCGGAGCTCTCTTAAGGGCTGAGAAGCTTGTATCTTTACCAGGATCTAGTCTTAACTTTAAGGGGGAAAATGTCATGATTAAAAGAACTTTCTTAGACTTTTTTTTTACCAGGAGCAACTCTTAGTACATAGGAGGCTTTGTGAATACGGCCCCTGATGGTTTAGTGAATCTTTAAGGACTTTTTTTCACAGTTTTCTGGTTTCAATTTGTAGAGAGAAGTAATAGAAAACATTGAGCAGACTGATCATTAATTAATCGTCCTTAGTTCCTGCCCTATTTCGAGTACTTGGAGTACATTTAGCTTCTAATTCTTTTCAAATTGTTACTTTTTGCAATTCCAAACTGAGTAGTTCTGCACTTTCATGATGGACTTCTTTAAATGTCTCCGTTGGTTTACCTTTTTAAATTCAATATTTTTCTGAGTGTAGCCTACATGTGACAGTTCCGGGTTTGTTTGGGGTTGCTTCGGTTTAACAGGGTGTGTTTTTTTTTTAGAAGCAGAAGACCCCGGTGTGTTTACATCAGGGTGCACCACCGACCATTTACTAAACTGAAGCCAGGTGGCCCCCATTAAACAAAGTCGTAAACACACAACAACACCCAGACTTTTTTTTGTTCCTTCCTTGCTAGTAAGACCAGTGGAGCCAATGACCTGGTGCTTTCACTTACCCCCCTTTTTCTTTAGTCTCATATGTTTTCTCTCCCTTTCTTTTGCTTGTAGTGTGATCAACAAGATCAAGCCCGGTGTTATCAGGAAGATTAACAGGCTGCCCACACCTATTGCTGGACTGGTGAGTCTTTTTTCCCTTTTTATGCAGCTTAAAGATTTAAGATGTGGCATGTTCATTATGCTTGAAAGATATTTTAACACATTACTTTTAACAGATCATCGTAGCTCTCTTCACACATAGTTTTTATCCTTTACTGCTTTGTTCTCCATGTTAAGGTAATTTCTGTTGTTGAGTGCGAGGTGCAGCAGCAGCAGCAGTGGAGCTGACTGGTGACAGGTCTCAGGCTCGGCTGCCAATGAGAGCGAGGTGTTTGCCTCAGTGGCTTGTCACTCCTCATATCCATCCACGCTAATAAGTCCGTTGAACGTGGAGCTGCTTGAAAGGCCACAAGCCGCATTCGAGCGCTCCCTAAAATACGATGTCTGCGATCCTTGAGGCTGCGTTCAATCAAAACCGTCCGAGACAAAAAGTCTTTGTGCTGGTCTGATAATTAACTTTTGACTGAGTGACAGGAGTTCAGAAGGCGGCAGACTTACTTCGCGTAATAATCTGTAATTGAATCAGTGTTTCTCATCACCGTTTCAAGGCGTAGAAATGTCTTCAAATTTTCGCCGCTTGTGGCCCCAGTTGAGATAAATGTTTTGGGAGTGTCTGCATACAAGACGCTCTGGAAGTAGAGGGTTGAAATCCCTAACCCTTAAACCCATCCCTCACAAAGCCTGCTCTCTTGTGGGAGTAATTGAGTCCAGCTGTCTGGAGGAATTATAGAGAACCCCAACCCTCAGCAGCCAGTCTGAGTGTGTCGGTGGGCTCAGAAACACTGTTTGGCAACACAATGACAAGTCTGTGGCAGAAAAGAACAGACAGGCCTGAAGGCTGGATGTAAACAGTAAACATAGTATTTTTCGGCCTCAAACAGTGTACCATCATATGCGTGTTATGACATAAACCGAATGTCCTGCCAGTTTGTTTTGAACTGTTGGTGATATCACTGGCTGGGCACCTGCTGAGGTAGTGAGGTAAACCATCTACTCCATCATTCAGTGACCATGGTGTGGTATTTCCGAGCTTGGACACAAAAGTGAAACCACCTGATCATAAATTCTTCCAACAAATGTAGAAGACTCCCGGTTGGCCCTGCAGCGATCAGTGTTGCTGGCAGCCACATGGAGAAAAGAGCTCTTCAAACAAACATCCCTCACTCGAGCTCTGCTGTGAGAAGATTTCCCTCTGTTATCTCGCAGCTTTATGAATAGTAACACGTCTGCTCTTTAAATGTTTGCATGAAGTGCTTGAATAGAAATGACATTGTTCATTTAGCATCAGTTAGCATCATATCTCCACTTAACAGGTGCATGGAGTAACTCACAAACACATTGTTTCTGCACTCGAAAGAGTTTTCATGTATCTATAATTTACTTGAGTATAATTTTTCAGATTATTTTTTTAATATAAGCCCCTATGTAAGCATTCCCTTAAAGTCGATTTTTCACACTTAAATGTAATAGAAATCAAGTTTATCCTCTGAAAATAACTCTGAGTCATGATGTCTTCAATGGGTGTAACACCCGAGTCCCACTGTCTGTGATGTTTTCAGAGTTTTCAGAGTCCTATCTTCAGTTTGTTTACATCGCCCGGACGGCCGGCTGACTCCTCCCCTCACGTATAAAAGTTGTTTAATTGAGGGACTAGAGAAAAGAAGAATAACATACTGTACTCACTGCTTAACTGTGTTTCTAGATCACGCTCATTTCAGGTAAATTTACATGCAGTGTGAAGATACCAGCATAATAAAGATCACTAGCATTAGCATGCTAACACAACAATGCAGCGCGAGTTGTTTTGGTTTCATGCTGGTGCTCAAGGGTGACATCTGCTGGATCCAAAAATCGCATATAAAGCCTTTAAAATCCTGCTGTCGCTTACAAAACAGAAACGGCCCCTCCTACTTACACTCTATCATCCTGGTCTGCACTCACTATGCTCTGCTTATGATAGCAGCCTGGTCCAAACTTCATAACAAGGCCCTAAGTCTCTGACAAGACTCTTCTCCTCTGTCGCCCCCCAGTGGTGGAACCAACTACAAACTCCACTTGATCTGCAGAGTCCCTTTGCACCTTTAAGAAAAAGCTAAAGACCCAACTATTTTATGAACTCCGACACAATTAATTATATTGATGATGGCAATTTAGGATGGTTTTGATGCTGTCGATGTAGTTGTTAATGATGATTATATTAACTTTTTTTTTAAAGTTCCTGTCAGCACCTGTTACCGATTGGACTCAAAACTGTTTGTTTGCATCTACTGACATTGATTCCTCCTCTCTAGATCCTTGATTGTGTTGTTCTTTACTCTCTGATGTATGTGATAAAAGTGTCTGCTGAATGAATTGAAGAATTCTATATTTTAATCCAATTATCTATGCTTGTAGATTTACATCAAGTACATCATTTTTGTTTTCAACCTAAATGGACAATAAAACACATGAAGGGTAGTGATGACTGATGAATCCATTGAACATTGATATCAGCCAATGTCGGCCCTGTTGAAAGACATCATTGTATCTGCAAATAATGTGGCATGCACCAATGTCAATATCTGATGTGTATCTGTTGTGTCATCAATTTAATGCTGGAAAGCTCATATACCCAACTGCTGATTCTAAGGAGAGGTTTTTTATTGGGCAGAAGACGTCATCTGTTGGACGAACTTAGATCTGTTTAATGGTCAAACTTACTCACACTAATACCGTTTCCTTCTTGGCCTCTCTGTGCAGTTGGAGAAGACTAAACTGGGAACATGCCGCTTTAGTGGCATGCTTAAATTCCTAACAACATGTTGTTGGGGCTCTTTTGGTTTGTCATGTAGCGGCGGCATTGCGCAGCAGAATGAAAGTCTTGCTTTATTCATGCCTCATTAACAATTAGATATGAGCTTTTTCTACCATTACGCTCGTAACTGTTGTCTTAGTTTTACTATGTGCAAGATTTCAGCACTTAAATGGATACCAGGCTTCTTCTGGTGAAATAAAAAAGTCCCGGGGAGGAATGAAAAAGAAACAGAAATCTCTCTGGTTTTTGTGGAATATTTAGCAACATTGGCTCCAGACTGGGACTATTCTCTGGCTTTACTTTTTGTTCTAGGGAATGTTTCCCATGTCAGCACACTTCTCCGCTTGTTTCTGAGCACTGAGTGAGCTGTGGGTTTGGGTCACGGTACCCCGGTTTGGTCCTGGTTCTACTTTAACCAGCACTCGGCAGGAAAAACAGTTTTTTGCGTTGGGGCAGTTGGCTACATGAGCCCACTTGGCTCAATCCAGAGGGACGGTGTTAAAGATGACTCCACTGGCTTCTGCCCATGATAAATACACTTTCATTGACGTGGTGCCGGATGTTCCGCATACACAAACTCCTTGGTGGGTTGAGGCAGCAATGGGAGGAGATAGACGGACAGTTTCAGTGGCCCTCAGGGTGTCTTTACTCCTCTGAATGTCTGTGTAATCATCTGTGCAATGACAAGAATCTGACCATGTTTTGTTACTGTGTTTGTGTTGTATGGGTGCATGTTATGACTGGATCTGACTGTAAGGATACAAAGTCTTTTATTGGGGCCGTTCAAGTATTCCATCTTGTGTGGATAGCCCGATATTTTAACCATAGCTCGGCTTCTAGTGGGAGGCACTGCCATGGGGTCAGCTGAGGGTAATTGCAGAGTATGCCCGTCTTAGAGAAAGAATGCAGCAGAAGAAGAAATAGAGTGACCGCATTGTGACCAGTATGGAAAATGATCCCTTTATACCAAATCAGACACCTTAAGAGTCAAATCTTTCTGTTCTTGGTGTGAAGTGCTTAAATCGGAGTTCTCCGGTCTGTATGAAAGGATTAGAGGCTGCTGGATGGGTACAGCATATTTAGCAGGATTATGTGCAGGCACAAGTCAGCATAACATTCCTTCGACATCATTATCTCTGCATGTTCTGGGACTTACTGTCGGGGGGGGGGGGGCTTTTAATATGTTCATAGAGCTCTCTGTCAAAATGACATTCATACCGGAGTGATATTAAAAGGCATGTGCCAAAGGTTGTGAGTGAGATTTTCATCTGTATTGCAGTAATAAAGCTCAGTGATGTTTTACAGCCTGAATTCTTTTGGAACATAAAAATCATATCAAGTATTATCGACATCTCACCCAAAAGTTCAGTGAGCTAGCTGAGATTGTGACTGGCAGACTTTGGCAGCCTTTCCCAAACTTAAGACAGCCGCGCCCGCTTTAAAATACAAAATTACTCAAGGGCCCTTTATGAAAAATGTTTTATGACTACAGCTATATCTTTCAGAAAGGGTAAATTATTGGACATTACAACATGATATTATGGCAAGATAGACACAAAACTTTACGAAACAATATGTCCATGAATAGTCATGACACGCCTTACTAATCACTTAAGGTTGACTCATGGTAAATCATCATTATTGTGATATTTCTTTTATTTTTAAAATTGGTGGGCTTTTCGGCCCACTTGCAGTACCCACACGGCCCACCAGGGGGCCCACACTTTGGGAAGCACTGTGCTATGGCATGCATTTGTCACTCAAAGCCACAGTTCCCAGAATTATGCATACCTTTCAGCTTATAGATCATTTAAACTGTCATTTCCTCTGTGAAGTGTGGCATTTTAACATGAGGCTCTATGGGGATTGACTCGCTTTTGGAGCCTTTTTCAGTTCAGTTCAGCCTCAAGTGGCCAATCTAGGAATTGCAGTTATTGCACTACAGTGCTGCTTCATTTTACACTGGAAGATGGCGCTTGCCTTTATAAAAATATTGCAGCCCAAAAGTTACATTATCTGTCAAGATAGCTAGATACCTAACACATGTTATACCTGTACTTCAATGTACATTGTACTGCAATGTGGTTAGTGCTGAAGTTTATGACTGTACCTGCTGTACGCATTGATTTACAAGATCATAAATTAAGTGTCACAGAAAAAATATCTGTCTGAACAGTTAAATGATGAGACGATACAGATAAAACAAGCCATTTACAACTCTTAATCAAATTCATGATCATGTTATCTAACAAGAGAAAGTAGTTGCCCCAGTAACTGAATACAAAGTCAAGACCGGAGGGGGGGGGGTTATCCCTTAACTGTAGGGGCCCTCAGTGACCTGAAGGGCCCGGCAAAGTGCTGTTATGGGACAAGCAACTACTTTGTAAGCAGGGGATTCCTACACAGAGAGGTCAGCCCTCTCCTACCATTGGGTAATAAGCATGTTTGCCATTTAAATATAGAACAAGCTACCCCTCAATTATTGCAGCCCATGTTGAAGCCGTGTGTCATTACATGTAACCATCTTAAGCAGGGCTGTCCCGTTGGGAAGTGCAGGCTCGCAAACAAGGCCCTTGGGATTACAACAAAACCCCGGAAAGGAATGGTGTTTCTGCGGTTGATGATTTGTTTGACATGACTGAGGTGTCTGTGTATTTATAGAGCATAATGTGTGTAGGCAGTCTTTAAACTCACATCTGTGTAAATCTTGTGTACATATGAACCTTACCCAATAAAAGCAGACATTGTATAGGAAGAGAAACCATCCCTCTACTCCCATGTCTTCACGAGTTGCCTGAGGAAAAAAAAAAATGTGCCAGTTTCTGTCACCCGACCTCATGTTTCATAGCAACCAAATGTCTCCACAATACTCCGCCGCCCCGCAGATTTCACAGGTATTCTCGAGTGAAGGGCTTGGCAGGGAGGGGAGGGGACAGTTTCAGGGTGTGAGAAGAAGGACGCCACAGCAGGCATTGTGCTCCCGTGTGTGTGTGTGTGTGTGTGTCAGTTCTGCACTCGCATGGCCGGTTGGGTGGGACTTGTATCCACAGCTCTGATGTCATCCTTCCTGGTTAAGGCTTTGTACCCACCCTAACCCCGCCCACAGGTGGCTTTGCCGCTGTCAGTCAGCTCCTGTCACGCAGCCTCTCCCCCCTGCGTGTGTGTTTGTGTGTGTTCTGCACCGAGTCCCTTCTTATTTGCTACACACATGCTCCTCCCTCCCCTCTTGTCCGTCTCTGCTCTCCGCTGATATGAACTTTGGAAGCAATGAGTTGTAGGCTGTGTCCCTGCCAGGGAATTCTTGAGTGATTATTCTTCTGCCTCCGAAGGTGGACTGCCCTCATCCCCCGCTTTGTTCTTTTTCCAGGACAACCTAAACGTCTTCCTCAAGGCCTGCGGGAAGCTCGGACTAAAGGAAGCACAGCTCTTTCACCCAGGAGACCTTCAGGACTTATCATCAAGAGTTACAGTCAAGTAAGTTGTGATTTTAGTAAAAAAACAAACAAACAAAAAAACATTGTTATTACAAACCATTTCTATTCACAGAGTTGAGAGCCTCCTGTAAACTTGGGTTTTTAACACATTATTGAATCGACAAGTCTCAGCTTCTATTTCTGTCATGCTTAAAGAATGAATGTTTAATTGCGACTGTCACACTACATGGTGTTTCAGAGCACATGCTGTCTCATGTGAGGCACGATTCAAGCTACAGTTAAAAAAGGTCAGAGCTATTTTCAGTGTACATGATTTCCTCTGTTGGTAAACACCTGTTTTAGGCACTGCTCTGTGTCTCGCTGGAAAATATGATGGAGGGAACAACTGAACACCTTTTCATTGTATCCAGAGCTCTGGTCTGATGTTCTTATATTTGATCAAATAAGTTTCTTCTTCATGCGAGTTTGAGACATAATGTCCTCAGAGACAAAAAAAAAAAAAGCATTTATGCAGCGAACGGTTCAAGTTCATAAAGGAATTGATTATCTGATGGTTTTAACGCGGTGCTGTACAGCTTTGTCGATACGATAATTAGTGTGTGTTGCAAACATTTCCAGACGCTGCCAAGTGTTTTCTTATTTTTCCATTTAAGTCAGTTGCTCTTGTGTCTCTTGCATGGCAATCATGGATGTATGTGGTATGTTGAGCAACCTGTTCAGTTGTTACACAGGTGTGCCTTCAGGAGCAGGTGAAGTAAGGCAGCAGCGCTCAGGGCACAGTCCACCATCCACTGTGGCTCTTTGTGGCTGTACAACACTGCTGTGCAAGCACAAACAAAAAGTGCATCAGCAGCAATACCAGCAGGTGGTTAAACCTGGAGATAGTAGGATTAGATAGGATCTCCAATACATGACTGAAGTTGGCAAAATATTGCAAAGTGATGTCGTGAGTGTGAGTTTTTTTTTTTCTGCAACACCAGATCTGCTCCTGATTTTTCACTTAGTTGTGCAATTAAAATCCGTCTGGATGTTCCTTTTTTGAGGTGTTACCACAACTTCCTGGAACATGTTTCCCATGATCCACCCCAAGACTTGCTCTGTCATTCTTCAGCAACCCTTGACAATGGTGTCGAAACCGCAGTTCTCACAGCGACGCTCAGAGAGGCAGATGTTCTGTAGAGACGCTGGAATATGAACCCAAAATAAACAAATCTGCCAGCCGTTTATCAAGACACACCCACCTCTCCCCACAGAGGAACTCACCCACCCTGCCCTGAGATACCGTTCACCCAAGTCTGATTCAGTGTCATAAATACGCAGATCGTGCCCTTTGCGTTATCACACACGTCCTCTGTTGCATAACCCTTTCCCTCGATTGGCAGTAAATAACACAAGTTATCATAATGTGGAAAATTTACTGTGAAGGCTGATTTGTAACTGACACTTTCTCCTATAATTAATATAACTATATATATATAAATATTTTTTTTTAAATGTTTTAGACTGCATTCAAAAGCATTTCCAAATTCTATTTTTTTCCATGAATTCACTGAGTTTGCAACTCCCAATCCCAGTTTTACCCCCCGTAGCTCAGTTCTTTGACAGCATGTGTGCCAGTGTGTGCGTGCGGGGGTTTGGACTGAGGGGGCTCACTCTCCTATTTTTAGGTCCTGCCGGTCAAAGTGTCCACCAGGACTGATTGGAATGGTATCAGGACTGAAAGGGAAGAGCTTTTAATAGTGTGTTTTACGCCTGCCAGTACACCCCCACCCCCTATGCATACCCCTGCATTTGGTCTTGAAGGGTACACCTGTGTGTGTGTGTGTGTACATGTGAAAGTTTGACTTCACTTTGAAGCTAAGGTTGTGGTATTCTGAATGTCCCCCACGTGGGAATGTTTTGATTCAGAGCAGACATGTTCAGACATATGTAGTTTTTTTTGTGTGTTTTTAATTCTGGCAGCAGTGTGTTGTTGCTCACTTGAAATGTGTTCCATTCTTTCACGCTCTTATTTCTAAGAAGAACAGACGCTGCTTTGACTCATTCATTCGTCACAGGCGGATTTTTCTAGAAATTAATTCCTTACACTAACTGTGGATTTATATAAAGCATATTTGTGTGGGGTTTTGTGGTCTTTTTGCTTAGATAACTAGAATAACAAAATAGATTTCTTATGTATTTTCTTTTCCTAGGGCACAATTATGTGGTTTCCCTGCAATAGTAGTCACATCCCATGCAAAGAGAAATGGCACACACATAGTATAACACGAGGAGATAATCCCCAAATAAGGCTGCAGCCTATGGTTTAATTTCACTGTTGCTTATCAGAGTCGATGCAAATGAGGCCTCAGAGAGCAAAGAGAGAAAGTTGTCTCTATCAGCTGTCTTTGCTCCTGGTGTGTGTCCAACGTCCACTCCCTCAAACCCAGTCTGACAGGTGCCTCGCTCAGCTTCCCTGTTCCCTGTTCCAGTAGCAATTAGCTCGTTATCGTGCTTGTGCTGTATGTTTCTTTTTTCCTCACAAACACTTCAGTTAAACGTAAAGTCAAGGTTAACATTTCGATGTTTTGATCCATGTTGTTTAACTGTTACTAGTAACCTCTTTTAGCTTCGTTATAGCTTCAAACAGTACCGACATTTCAGTTATTTAGGGGCATCAGTTAAGCTCAGTCGTTAGAGCTGCTTCCCCGTGTGCAGAGCTACAGTCCACATCGCAATCGTCCTCAGGTTGGAGTCCTGGCCTCGACTCCTTGCCCTCCTACCTACATTTCTTGCCTCACCCCAGCTGTCCTGTCAAGTAGGGCAAGTAGGACAAAAAATTTATTTCAGTCATTTATATTGAGAAAGAAAGTTCAGTAGGTACAACAGGTGTCTCATAAAGTAAAGTCCTTGATGCACTGGTTACTGGTTTGACTCCCAACCCAAAACCATTTTGTGCATGTCACTCCCCACTCTTCTTCCCGTCTCTCTTCAGTTGTCACATCATTAAATTCAAAAGGCCAGTGAAAAGTCTTGTGAAAAATTGTGGATTAATTGTGAAAACAAATAACCCAATGATGAAACACATTATGAGTCACTCACAACCACAGTGGACTCCAACTTGTATGAAAGGTGCTTTTAGGTCATAGCTATGGAACTCAGCCCCTCTGCTCTGAAAAAGAAACAAAATTACAGACGTTTGATTTGAGTCATCAATCACCTCCTTGAGAAAAGCTAAAATTCCTACGTTGAACGTTTGTGCTTAAATTACAGTTATTAGCGTGGCTTGTGTCTCTCTTTTGGTATGAAGATGAAGTCAGACATTGGCTGAAGTCATGTGGGCTGAGAGCAAATTTAATTCAAACCCCGTCTGTGTTGTCCCGGCAGTCATAAAAGATTATTGGATGTCTGCTTTGACCTTTGAGCTCAGCAGTTGCTGTAGGTTCTGTCTTAACACCCTCTGCAGTGTAAATGGCCCTGTCGCTTTGTGTTGTGAAATGTGCTGCCTGTTAAAGTCAGTTACAAACACGTTCATAATCCAAATGATCAAACAGCGTGACAAACTGTTGTAACAGTGATACAGACTGATAAGAGGGGAGAGTTTGCTTTACGGTTTACTCTCATGAATGACGTGTCGGTGCACTATAACCAAGTGCAAACACTCTTTCAACATGTAGAAGTGAAATAGAATCGACTGTATATAAAGATGGACGATGTGCCTCCACCTCCTCCTGTTGTGTAAAAGTGAAGCCCCCTCAAATGATGCTAACAGTGCTATTTTGGATGGCTCAAACTGTTTTTGGCTTCACTTTTGGTGAGCTGTTATGTTGCCCATCTTTTTATGCAGTCTTTGTGTTAGAGTGACCAGGCTGACTCTTACTCAGGTCTGATTCAGTTAGATCGACTGTGTCAGTTTCCAACAGCTGCCCAGGAAATGAGAGCATTAGAGCGCTGGGGATGAATCACTCCATCTGAAAGTGCTCGATTTAACTCCAGCCACTTCCTTTAGCCCCTTAGCTGTCGTTTGGAAATTCAGCAGCATGCAGCCAAGTCTGGACGAGACCCACAACTCAACACACTTGACAAAAAGGAAAAGACTCTGCAAGGTTTTCCCAAATGACACTAAATGTCAGCAGATTACTTGACACTTGACCTCTGTGAATGCTTTCTCAAGTGTTACTTGTCACGGAGCCGCTTCAACAGGATGTATGGCTGTAAGGGTGGATATTGCTGCTTGTAGAAACCAAAGATGTGCAGGCACAATGCTCTTAACATCAAACAATGTGCTGTTGTACTTTGGTCACCGAGGGACTCTCATTCTTATTCAGCCTTCTTCAGTGTTTAAGCTACAAGTGTTGTCATATTTTAGAGACATCTAGTCATTACAACAGTAATTACAGCATATCGGATCTGGAAATGAAAGGTTTATATTCTGTAAATGTTCTAAAACTAGGTTCATTTACAAAATTACTACACTAGAGTAAAAGCCTTAGTATGGTGGATTTACCCTCCACACTGGTATTTCCCTTTTAAGCCACATCATACTGCGCTACATCAAAGAGGAAAGTTTTGTACTCATTATTGTGCCAAAAAAAAAAGAGTCTCTCCTTACGATGGATCCATAGAATTAATATGCAAATCTTTCTTTAAAGATTTATTTTTGGGCTTTTTGAGCTTTTAATGGAGAGATAGGACAGTGGATAGATTCAGAAACCAGGGAGAGAGTGGGGAATGACATGCAGGAAAGACTATAGCCTCCATACATGGGGCACGCGCACTAACCACTGCACCACCAGCGCCCCATATGCAATTCTTTTGAGCAAACTTACTGAGCTTCATAGTGACCCAGGATTTAATGTTACAGTTCACCCTCCCTGCTCTCATATTTATTTTGAACAAAAAAACATCTGAAACAAACTGTACAGCATCATCTAAAACAGCAGGCAGCCAGAGTAAGCAACCAACCTGTTAATATAGAGGTACATTAAGCAGATAAAAAAGCAAATATTTTACTTCTTAATTGGTGGAAGCAAAAAACAAAGATATAAGGGAGTGGATGTTGGTCCTACACCCATCAGGTGGCAACAAACTGGACTTAAAACCAGCCAAAGGGTTGTTTTAACTGCTGGATATGTAAGAGCCAAAACTATTGGCTAACAAGTAAGTCCTTTTAACTCTAAATATTTCAAAGGGATGTACAATTGCTTATGAATCCAGCTTGTGCTTCTGTGTCCTCGTGTCACAGACAGAACAAATCCCCCGCTGAGATGAGTCCAAAGTCTCATTGTTTCCGCCGTTTAGATCAGGCAAATTATTGACAAGGGTGGACTGCACTCCAAACCCCCCCAAAACAAAAAAATGCAGGAAACTGCACAAGTATGGTAGGAACATGAAAATTCAACGTCCTCTGAGGAATGTTTGTGACCTCCTCAGAACAATTGATAAAGGAGCGGCTGTGGTGATTACATGATGTGGATTATGCAATAGCATCCGTGGCTGAGGACCAAACTAAATGTTTGACATACCTGAAGGAAATTTGTTGTTTCTAGGACAAATTTGGACTGATTACACAGCTTGTTATCAGAGTTTATTGAACAATATCATATTTTGCACTTTGAGCCATGTGAGCAATCTTTTGTTTGTGGTTTAAAGCTCCAAATTCATATTTCATAATACAAAAAAAACCTTCCGCATGCGTTGTATGTTAGTATTTCGGGTGTGGCTCAATGAGCTGGCACTACACCTTCTGGTTTTATGTCTTCTTATATGCCCTGTTGCACATCTTGTTGCAGCGTTGTGTGAACTGTGGGCAAATTGTAAAACACAAACCAGTGATGATGGAGAACAGCTAATAAAACCTCTACACCCTTAATGAGGCCGTGGCTGTAAAAAAAAAAAAAAAAAAGGCCAACACAAGGGTTATATTTGTGCTCTGGGCTCAAATGGGGGAGAGAAATGCCAGCCTCACCCTGTTCCCTCCCTCACAGAGGCTACACTGTCTCTGATAAGTACGACACAATGATGCCAGACACTGTCTCACCCACAGCTGATTCCTCCATAAAAGCCTCTCCTCGTGTCTTCTAACTTTTTTTTTTTTCAGTGCTCCTCATGCATGAGAGCGTCAGGGTGTGCCTTTGTACCCAAAGCGTTTTATTAGAATGAGAGAACGCAGATGAAGGATGTTACGTGCGGTGTTGTTGAATGCTGCAGAGCAGGTGAGCGTCGTCGCACAGGTATGCTTCTGATCGCACATGCACACCCATTAATTTGAGGCTTTGGTTACACGGGGCTGTTTGTCTTTTAGGTATTAGTGTCTCAAAGACGCTGAGCTGCCTTTATCTCTTCGGTGTCTGTACTGTACGTGGATTGAGACACATCCTGTGGGCTCAGTCTGATAATTTCTCACCTGTAGATATTTCTCTTGTTAGTGTTAAGAATTGAAAGATGAATGAACTTTGGCTGATGTCACAAAGTTATTTGTCTAACATTTGAATAGTGACTTGTGCTTCTTTAGTTGTGTGTGTTCTCATTGTCTGTGGTTTGTGTTGGCACAACAAAACTATTCAACACCTTAAAGTCAAATGTGGTCATGTTTACAACGCTAATGTGACCACGAGAGCTCAGATTGACCAAAAATTGTTGTTTAGTTACCTGTTTTGTTATCAACTTGTTAATTATTCATTTATCTCTTATAACTGATGTATCTAGAAATGATCTGATACACATTTTGTCTTCCTGATACTAATTCTGATTCCAAGTCTGAAGCATTGGCCCATGCAGATACTTCTTTGATACTATGGTGTTAAAAATAAAATACACATTATTGTTATTCTATTACTGTATGTCTATATGAAATTGACCTGGCTCGGTACACTACATAAATCCTTAAATAGAAACATGTGTAGCTAATGATAGCAGTAGTTTAAAACTTCTTTATTGGTTTTTACTGGATTGATTATTTTGACTTAGATTAAAAGATAGCAACTGATTTTACCAAGAAAAACTTTTCTGAAAATCTGAAAAATATGCTGTGCAGTGTGAGATGCTCAAACATTTAATGCTTCATGCTATCAGTAGCTATCTGTGAACTTTACTCCCTGCGAGCATGTACTGTCCTTTGCAATTATCTATGATAATTTATATGACATCAGTTTTATTTGCTCCTCTCATACAGTCGTTTCTATTGTCAGTAAGATTGTCACAATACCAGATTTTTTTACCAGCTGTTCTGTCGTCACAACAATAACAACAACAAAAAAGTCCCTGGCACCCGAATATCTGGGACGTCTAGGTTTTTACAACCACAAACTGCGGGGAAAATCCTGCACACTTATTAAATTGCACAAATATGCTAGCAACGGTTTTGCTCAATTAAGACGGTCTTTTCCACTTTTCCTCTGCTCTCTGTAAAATGGGGTTCGGGTTAAACGTAATGTTTGTGTGTATTCTAAACTATGCAGTTTGACCCGGCGTAGTCACCACATCTTCAGCTCTGGATTTATCTATTCACGTTGCAACTCATAGTTACTTTCTGTGCAGCTGCAGTGAAAAGTTTTGCCTTTTCTTTCTTTAACTCTGGCAGAACACAGTAAGTGTTTTAGTGTCTTTCTTCAGTCTTTTATCATTTCTGCTAGAAATTCATGGAAGAAGGGTTTCCCTGGCTGGTGAAGGATTGGTTGTCCCTCATCCTTTCACCTGCTTGACACAAGATTGGGGGTGTGAAAGTTTGTGTTAGCAATGCAGAGGTTGAGGCTCACAGCTGAAATGACTCTCCTGTTAATCCGTCAAACTGAGGGATTTCCTGTCACTTACTGAATTTACACTCGTCCGTCAAATCTTTAAAGAGCCCTGAACTGTCTTTTTCTGCATGATGAATAGAACTGTTTCACCCTTTTAACATCAGAAATAGACTGAAGGGGAATAGTAGAAAACATTATCAGATCATTTCGACCTCATCTGTTTGATGTGGTGTCTATGAAGTTTCTAGTTAAATAAAGGTGGAGTTTGTTCAGAACATTTCACTCTCCCTTAACTGCTATAACGTGCAAGATACACAAACACAACTCGCTTTCTTCTTTCAGCAAATTAAGTCACAAAACCCTAATGCAGTTATTTTCCTGTTCATAATGTTTTCATTGATGTTATTCCCATGCCTGTACTCTCTGTGCAGAACTTGTGTGACGTTCTGCTGCTGATCGTGGAGAATCATATGAGCACTCAGCTGATTCTTACAGAATACAGAAAAGTCCCGCGGCTCTGCAAGGCTATGAAAATAGCCCTTGTGTATTTTCTCTTCCGTTCATCTATTACCACGAGCCATAAATGAGAATTACGAGAAGCGGTGTGGTTGTAGTTTAGGGAATATAGCTCATTTTCTTCTTGGACTTGGCTGCCGCTGCTATAATCTTAGACTTTGTGACTGCGCTCCAAGCCACGCAAGAAAGGCCATTCTTTCCCAGGGCTCTTTTATTGGGCATTTAACTTTGCAATATGCTAAATTGGTGAACATCCAGTTCAGTTTTTTTTTTACCATTCTGAATTAGCATTTGGACGCCCATGGTGTGAGATGACGCACACTGGTGAGAAAGTTGACCCGCTTCTCGGCGAGTTATAATCTCTCAGCGTTGCAAGAAGTGCTAAGATCCTTTGTTTGAGTTGAAGTTTTTAACAGATTTCTCTTCAGAGGAAGCTTCTTCTTTAAAAAGTTGTTGCAGAGCTCAACTGCAGTTCAAATAAAAAATCATGATGTACTTTGAGCAAGTGTGATAGAACTTTTTAAAGCACCACGATGTGAAACGGCGATGTAAAGGGATGACTGACAGTGATAGCTATACAGAATCTGCATCACCCTCAAACTTCAAGGAGCCAGATTCAGCTCATTGCTCAGATATTTGGCCCACACCTTTATTGTTTCTCTCTCACACAGCTCTCATAGTTACCATGTTGGCTAAAGCAGGAAGCTGAGTGCAGCATAAAAGCCCTAAAAAAAACCTACTACTTCTTTACACCAAAGATATGAGGAAAGTAAACAATATTCCTAAAGGGACATGAATACAGATTTCACAAGTTGCAGCCACGCTCATCCTCACTAAAGCTTGAAAATACATATTGGCACCTGAACCTGTTTGTTTGATTGACAGGCATGAACTTTAGGTATTAACTTGACACGTGCATCACATTTTCAGCAGGTGCCTCCGTTACATTGCATGTTAGAAATGGGTAGAAGACCCCTGTAGCTCCTGTGTAAAGTGGCATGTGTGACTATTGCATTACCACATGATAGCAGGAATGTGTAGCATGCACAAGGGGATGTGCTGCAGACTGTATATCTTCCTCTGTCACCGTTATGGTTGCCGTATGTACTCAAGCTGTTTATCTCTGTTTATTGACCTTTTTTTATAGACACTACAGTCCGCTTTGGTGACAGGGACACAATGTACATAAGTTAAAGGTTGAACCAGGCATGCAGGTTGACACTGTGGGCTTTGTGTGGCTTCACAGCAGCAACGCTAAGCTGACATTTTCCAGGAAAAGTGATTTACTGACTGCCAGGTCAACTGTCAAACCCCAGAAATATGAGTGAAATTCTGCATGACCCCGGTAGCACGCGAGGGGCTTTATTGCTTGTTCCAACAGTGAACCCTTGTTTGATATTCACATGTTTAGTTAGACCTAATTAGTTCCATCATTATTAGAAATCAGACACAAAAACACCTTTTGTAACTCTTAACTTCGACACTTTTTCCACATTTGCTTCATTTTGTAATTAGAGTTAAAATGCACACGCAGAACTTTATTTTATGGCTTGAACTGTTTTTTTTCTTCCGCAATGTGTGTTTGTTTTTCTCCCAGCCTTTGTTTTGTGTGAGGGTGAGTGAAGGGCTGGCAGTCGTCTGGATTGTGCTCTCACTTTCCAGCTCTTTCACTGCCCAACACACAGAGACCCAACAAGCATGCCCTCTGTTCTTTTATTGTCATATTCCCTCTCTCTCACACACTCACACCTCTGTGTTTTCTGCTCTTTCTCTCGCAGGGATCAAGAGACCAACAGGAGGCTGAAAAATGTGAGTGGAAAAATAGTTGTGTTTTTTATTTTTCTGTGAACCTTGGCCCGACATTTGACAGTAATAAATTATAATTTAGCTTCAGTTGCAGTTCTGTTTATGTGTCAGTGGAGAATAAAGGGGGAACTCCACAGATTTAATGCATCAAAGTCTGGTTACAGGTGTTGGCATGTTCCACATGCATGGAAAAATGTGGCACATAACATATGGGACTCCAGAAGGAAAATCTGATTAATTGCCTCCAGTGATGTCAGTCGAGTCAGCATCAGTTAAAGCTGAAGTAATAAAAGATCTGCATGGCCAGCATCTTCTCGTGTCCCTATGCTACCAGATCAACCGTATTCAGCCCCAACAAGTGTAAAACACAGTTGACTCTCCAACTCAATTTGCATGAGATAAGTTGCATTGTGGGTGATGTAGGCGTCAAGGAGGAAGACTGGTGGAAAAATTAGAAACCTGAGTATGATTTCTGAGAAGTTGTGTCCTTTTTTTCCAAAACTGTTCAATTGATTGTGAATGAGAGTAGTACTTTACTTTATTGATTTAACACGTTTTTTTTTAACCCTTTGTTCGTTTTGTAGCTCTGTATTGATGACATTTAAAGTGTTATTCACATATTTTTTTTTAAACACTAAGTACATGATGATCACATTATATTTTGCTTTATTGCGAAATGTGTTTTTTTTTAACACTGCAGAACTTTGTCGCCTGTTTCTCACCTTTCCAAAAATACCTCTAAAGAACTGCCTCATTAAAAGATAACACTTCAGCAGCTTTAACATTAAGAACACAGTCTAAAAGGAGGGTTATAATTCTTTATTTTGGATAAAGGGATGATATGTTAAAAGAAAAATTATTTAGTCCAACATCCTGCCCCGAGACATTTATCCTGACACGCCCCCCCCCCCCTACATTTTCAGATATCAATATCTGGCCTGTATATTTGAAAGACCCTTTAACCCAATAATGATATGAAAGTGTTTAAAATGCTCTCGTTATGGATTATTTTGTCTCATAAGTGTTACATTAGCCAAAGGTTGTTATTTAAATGTTCATGTTGAAATATCAAATATCAAAGCTCCCTCATGTGCTCCCTCACTTTTTCCCTGCATCGTTCTGTGTACAGTCCAACTGACACATTTATCATTCTCTTACTAGGATGATGAACAATCAAAGAGCTGACATGTCAGTTTGAAATGTGTTGGTGTAACAGAAGGACAAACATCCTTGATGAAGCTCTGATTGTTTGCTGTAGAGCCGCATATTTACCTGTGTAGCCTTAAAATGCACACACACAAACAACAACAGAGGGTTCTGGATGAGCCTGGAAACACGAGCAGGGGCATGGGGATGATATCACCTTGTGTTTGTGTAGAGCTGCAACTATAACAATCACCTGCTATAGTACCACCACCCAGAACATTCATCAGTAAGGGGAAAGTAGCGCTGTAATTGGATGTAATATTTCTGGTAGTGATAATACATTTCAGGATATGGACTTTTTTTTTTTTAAATAAGCTGTTTGTTTTCCTCTCTCCAGGTATTGATCACCATTTTCTGGCTGGGTAGAAGAGCTCAAAGTGACCGTTTCTATGATGGACCTTACCTGAATTTTAAGGCATTTGAGGGATTGCTAGGCACAGCACTATACAAGGTAAAACTTTTCACAATAAGAGTGATAATAATTTCATTTTGCACTCATTTTTATGTGTACATTTATGGAACAAAAGTTAAATTTTCTTGTAGAAACCGCAAATAACATGAGTGAAATCCTCTTTAAAAGCCGCTGCCAAGTATTTTTCCATATCCTCCTTGGTATTCAGACTATGTGCAGTAGAATGGCTGTTAAAGACCGCCGAGCCTCGCATTGCTGGCCACTCAAACGAAAGCTGTTTTAAGTCATAAGCAAACCTGATCCCTTGACTCAGCTATTTTAATCTTGTTTGCAGCAAGTTTGCGTAGCATGCATGTGAAAAGTGTCTTCTTTTCCTCCCCCCTGCTCATGCTAGTGTTGAATTTGGCACCTTGCGTTCACATAGATTTATAGGTGGTTGTGTGCAGGGCCTCTATAATTCAACAGACTACCGGGATTTTCAGTAACCGCAGTCGGTTTTGACGCTTTCGTGTACGTTTGGCTTCGATAATCCAAGTTCACAGGCACTGGGTTTTGGGTGGGATTTAGTTTGTGGAGTTGTATTGTCTGGTAGACTTCAACAGATTAACGATCTGAAAATCATTTTCTCTTTAAAGTGGCTGACAAGTTTGGACATGTGGCATGCCGCTTGGAGCGCTTATATAAAAGGAAACAAGTTTTACATGTAGTAAATGCAGTCATCAAGAGGGCATTGAACTCGGCCCTTTTTTTGTTTTGACAGATTTGTCAGCAAATAGAAAACAATGAGGTCATTCGAGGGAAAATTTCAGCATTACACATTCCCCCCCTCATAGACAGTATAGGAGCCCATGTTTACACACACTGACTTTGGGAGGCCCGAGCTGCAAAGAGTTCACACTCTACCTGGGAGATCTGTCATGAACCACACACGTAGCAGAGCTAAATATTGCAATTGGCTCCCTATTATCTGACTGTGTGATTTCTGTGTGTGTGTGTGTGTGTGTGTGTGTGTGTGTGTGCATGAAAGGCTCTGCAAGAATCATCCAGCCAGAAAGGCAACAACACCCGAGACAGCGGTTTTGGAGAGAGCTGGTACTCAGAGCGAGAGGAGCTCCACCAACTGAGAGGAGAAGAAGACGAAGAAGGAGGAGGAGGAGGCGGAGGCGGACACAGGAGAGACGACTCCCTCGACAGCTTGGACTCTTTAGACTCCAGACCCCTCAGCATCTCATCCGACACCACTCTCAAAGGCAGCAGCGAGGGTAGGAGACGTCATGTCATTTGTATCAAAACACAAACAGACGCTTTTAAAATCGAGACACAGCTTCTGTAACTCTTCCTGACCCTGTTTTTTCATCTTTCTGAAACTGACTTTCTGGCATATTTTCTTCATTTTTATACTTGTATTTTTGGGATGCACTTGAACGTCTTCGCAGTTTTCTCATAAAGTGTCCAGACTTGGACTTGAACATCAAACATTCGCAAAGAGGAAAGAAATGCAGCATCAGGGCCAGAAAGTTGGCTCCTATTTGTGAAAACAAACACCTATCGCCATCTAGTGGTGTTTTTTTGAAGTTTCATATTTTCAGTGAAAATTCACACTAAGTCCCCAAGGAAGTAGATATAATAAATCAATGCTGAAGTGCCCGGCTATGTTCTTGTTTGAAGACAAATGTACGCTTTGAGAGAGGGGAAGGGCTGGTCAGTAACCCCCCCCCCCTCCCTGCCGCCCCCCTCCAAGAGGGACGCAGTGAAGAATTCCTCAGCCGTCCACACCGCCTTGTAAATGAGGAGGTCTGCGATCCCCACCCTGCACCCCTCTGTTACTCCTCCAGAGTCAACACACAACACACTCCCCTTCCTCTGTCCTCTATTCTCTCCTCCTTTGTCTCCTTTTCAGCTACTTCATTACTTTATCAGACCCCTCTCGTCTCCTCTCTCTCACACCTGCTATATTTCCCCCACTCTTGTTTGTGCTCCAGGTTGTTGCAGTGACACCGAGGTGGACTCCGTCTTCAAGATGTCCGAGAACAGGGACGGTATCAGTTACCGCCGGTCGGCATCCATCACACCAAAAGCCACCACGCCGTTTAACCAGTTCCTGCCCACTAAAGACAAACAGTCGGGCTACGTGCCTGCGCCGCTGAGGAAGAAACGGGCCGAGCGCAACGATGACAACCGACGCAGTTGGGCCAACCCCACATACTCGGAGGAGGAGGGACCTCTCACCAGGTACCGTCAGAATACACACAGCTGTGAACACTTTGAAGCTGATAAAACTGAAGAAAACAAAATTTTTTTTTATGCTCAAATCACGAGTGTGTGCTCCAAATACTTTTGTCTTTACATTGTCTCCTCTCTTATCACTGTTGGTGTTTGTGCTGCTGTTGTGTGGTCTGCGAATTGTCGCCGGTGTTGTGTTTCATTTTGCTTCCCTGTGGAATGACAACCTCAGCGAAACAGGGCCGGCCCCCGACTGGTACGACAATGTTCAAGTACCCCAGAGCGCATTGCCCGCGACTCATCTACAGTGTGCCTACGAGTACGAAAGCGGCAGCGACTCGGACGCGGATCGCCCGGACCCGGATCTCGTCCTGGATGACCTGGCCGGCAGGCGCTTCCACAGCCCCTCCCCGGCTCCTCCCACCAACTTCGCCTTGCCCATCAGTCCCGTGGCGATGGGATCGGCAGCCGGAGGTAGAGGAGGCACCTGGCCGAAGGTCACTATGAGTTCCAATGTTGCCCCCCAACAGAATGTGACCTTCCACAGGTCAGAACATGCAGCGACGGTGTGACTTTGATGTGCCTTGCCTGATGAAAGCAAAACGCTTGCCTTGTCCTCAGTTTGCATGGTTAAATTAAACCATGAGCGACGTCTTTGGTCGTTGTTTGCTGCCTCTAACCGAGTTTGAAAGACCGTTTTTTGGTTTTCTGTTTGAGTTGTTTGATTTAAGCTTCAGCACTTCCTTTTTTTTTTGCTCCTTCTGAAGCTTGGAGGAGTGATTTGAGTTGGCCACGCGGCTCAAATCAAATGTTGCCTCAGTTTCATTTTTGGTTTGAGCTTGCACTGGTTTGCTAACCCTTGCGTCATCTTACTTGAGATTGTAGTGCTCAAGGAATATGCGTGACTGCCGTGCTGTGCAGCTGCTGAGAAAATTCTTCTGACATGTGTGATTGGCTGTCTCTTCCGAGCAGCAGCGCCTTCAGCAGCGGGGAAATGCAGCCCCAAAAACACAGCTCCGTGAGGGTGGACCACCACCGGGCCGTGTCGGCCGACAGCCTGTTCAGACAGATATACGATGACTCTGAAGATGAGGACGATGAGGAGGGCTACGCCGACCCGGTCCAAGACGATCTGTACGCACGCAAGATGGGCCTCAAACCCCAGCCTGCCGCCACTGCGTCCCATGACAAGTTCTTGCCCAAGTTCTGGACTCCTGAAGAAGACGTTCACATACAGAAAATCAAACTGGGCTCTCAGAGGAGACCCTGGTACAAGAAGATGCAAGGCTTCAGGTGTGTGAGGGAAGCAGAATCCAGAATTATATAGAAAGTATCTCAAACATACTCAAACTTTACATTGTTCTTAAATCATAGATTATATAATTCTCTGCTTCTTGTACAATCATGTCTTACTTTTCTACCTTACACTTGGTTAAAGGCTTTATATGTGATTTTTCACACTTAAATATAATAGAAATCAAGTATATCCTCTGAAAATAACTCTGAGTCATGACTGTCTACAATGGGTGTAACACCCGAGTCCCACTGTCTGTGATGCTTTCAGAGTTTTCCCGAGTCCTATCTTCAGTTTGTTTACATCGCCCGGACAGCCGGCTGACTCCTCCCCTCGTGTATAAAAGTTGTTTAATTGAGGGACTAGAGAAAAGAAGAATAACATACTGTACTCACTGCTTAACTGTGTTTCTAGATCACGCTCATTTCAGGTAAATTTACATGCAGTGTGAAGATACGAGCATAGTAAAGATAGCTAGCATTAGCATGCTAACACAACAATGCAGCGCGAGTTGTTTTGGTTTCATGCTGGTGCTCAAGAGCGACATCTGCTGGACGAAAAAATCGCATATAAAGCCTTTAAGTTCAATTTGCATGCAAAAGCCTGACAATCAAAATTTGGGTTTCTGTCATTTATTCCAATTTCTGTCCAGATGCATCCCACTTACCTTTCTTTTCTCTTCCTCCTATCTATCCCCCTGCGCCCTCTCATCTGCTTCCGTACCCCCTTTTCCCTTCCCTTTCCTTTGTTCCTCGCTGTCCTCGGCTGTAGCTATAAGAAGTCGGGCTCTTCGTCAGACGAATCGGACTGCGACATCAGTCCCTGGCTCTCCTCTGCCCCCTCTCCCTCTCACACCCACACACACGAGGCCTCGGCTCACACCACCACCCTCGTTGTGGGGAAAAGGTCGATACAGCTGCATGATTGTGACCATGAAGGAATGTTTTAGGGCTTTTTGGATTTATTTGGAAGCGACATAATTTGCTCCTGTCGGGGGCTGAATATCTGATGAGCTTCTTTCTAATACACTAATGTTAAAATAAAGCTGAAGGTTGCTGTGACATGCTTTATAACGCTGCGTGCTTCACTGACCTTAGCAGAAAATAGGCTGCGTCTCAACATTTTACTATTTTTGTTACAGCCTATTTTAGATTTTTTTTTACAGCTACTAGTAATGCCTTTTTTTTCCGTAGCAGATTCTTTAAAAAATGTCTGATTTGATCGACATGTTTGAATCAAATATCCTCTCTATGGCTGCTTGAAGTATCTCTTCCTTCCTTTTTCTTCACCTGCATGCACTCATCACCTCTCTTTCCTTCTCTCTCCTTCTGCCCGCCCTGCAGTCCTCACACCCAAGCACACTCTCCCCCACAGCTCCCCAAGATACAGCCCCCTCTGTTACTGACCCCGCCCCTGGTATTCCCTCCAGTGGACCCCGCCTCGGGTCCCAGACTGGTCAAATGTGAGAGGTGGCCCCTGCTCGGGCGGCAAGACCCCCGCGAGCCCCTAGATCCCTTCGATTATGAAAGCATCATCCCCGACTTGGAGAACGATGACATGTTTGCCAGGCGGACTCTGGCCTTCCAGTCCAACACGGACTTGGCGATGATGAAGACCAAGCTGACGGCCCGTCGTCCGCTCTACACGTCTGAGCCGCAGCTCAACATCGTCACGCAACGCCACGCCGACGCCAGCACCGAGGAGAGCGAATTCCCCGACATCGAGCAGGACGATGTGGTTTATCGAAAGGAGAAAACGCAGCAGGAGCAGCGGCCGCTCTCCGGAGCCCCCGACAACTACGCCCCTATGCCCGTCCCAGAACCATGGGCACTGCCTCCGGATCTCAAAGCCCGCCTCCTGTGCCCGCCGTGCCCTCTGACCAAAGAGGCAGGAGGAAGTAAACAGGTTGAGAACGAAACGCGTCCGAAAACAGATGACATGCTCGTCCGGAAATTTGGGGTTGGTTCTGATAAGAACTCACTCAGAGGCTCGTCAGCCAATCAGATGACGCCCTCAGTGCCTTCCTCCCGTAGCGAGGGCGACCTGCAAAAATGGCAGGCGATCAGGGAAGCCAGTCAGCTGAGATACAAGAAGAAGCTTTTGGTGGAGAGACTGGCTGCTCTGAAGTCATAAAAAAGTCATTTCTGTAACTGTTCTCCTCCCGTCGTAGCTTTTTCTTCCGTTTAATTTTCAGTTTTTAATCGTTTTCGGTTTGTTTCAGTCTCAAACTATATTTCCTGTCTGATGGTGAAGTGGTCTAAACGCATGTCGATCTAACTTGTATATGACTGATATGAAGGCTTTCACAGTGACAAAAAGGGAGTTTTATAATATTTGGTCTTCTTTGTGAAGACTTAAAATGTTCCTTCAGCGTTCACTGGAACTGTAATTTCAGCAAAAACTGCGACTAAAGGAGCAAAACTTCTTTTTTTAAAAAAAATCTTTTTTCCCTGTCAGAGAAAAAACAAAACAAGGAATTGTGTGCAAATGAAAGAAAAAGGTTTATTAGGGTTTTCTGCATGATTGGAATGTTGTTGGTTTTACTTTAGCGACACATGGTATGGTTATGCTAAGAGGATGGATAGACAACGTGATTTTGTTCATCCTGAGCATTTTAGAAACAAACCCACTCTCTGCATTTTATCTTTTGGTTTCATTTCTCTTATCGGAGCGAGTTTGTCTGTGAATGAACAAAATATTCAAGCTTAATAAAGGAAAATCCGAGACTTAATGACCTTGTGATGGATGCATTAAATTGGCCACTTGTTGACCTCACATTACACGTATCTGACCACAGCACCGGTGTTGTTTTTTTTCCACAGCAGAGGAAACTTCACACTGACATGTAAAGCTCAAAGTGCAGCATGCATGTGAGTGTGGAAAGGTTCAAGCGTCAGTAATATCCAAACATTACGTCCTGAACACACCGACAGCAACAAGCGGGGGGCAATTACATTACAGTCTTGTGTGTTAAACCGACATGAAAGCTTTTAGAAATTCCACACTGCTCTGAAAGAAGATTGGGACTTGTGGACTCCATAGTTACCCTGAAACACAAATCTGTACTGCAGTGTTTGCACATGAGCAGACACACACAAGCACGCACAAAGCAACCATTTAAACCTGAGTCAATGCCATCTGGGTTTACTTCACATCCATATGTGAAGCCATGTGTCCACTGACATCATGATGGAGTCTCAAGAAAGGCCGCATTGTTTAGAGAAAGATACAAACACACCTCCGCAGCCAAATGCAAAGGAAAGGAAAGCTGATACTGTAAGCCTACTATAAGCACACCTTAAAGGGTAATTCTAGTATTTTCTGGGTGATTGGCTCATTCCAAACGGCTAGTAGTTGGTATTAAATTTGCTACTGTTGGTTGCTAGACAGCAGCCATGAAACAAGCTGTAATGGCTGAAACAGAATCTTTGGGCTCAGATTGTTATTCTAAGTGTCTGAAACTTCACAGGAAATGGATGCATAGAGAAATATTCCATTTTGACAAAGAGTAAGATCCTTTTTCAACCAGTACTGGACGTTACATCGCACCCACAAAAAAACCAGACTCCATTGACGAAACTGGACATTTTACCTTGCAGAACATGAGAGTTGCTGCTCCACTATTGCTCCGACTTTTAAGTCTTCTTGTACTGTTGTTTTACGTGTTTTAAAGGCTAAGCTTACATCCCTCACAACACAATAACATAGACACAGACTAGTAGCACTGGTGGTTGCAGCGCTGCTCGATCAGCAACTCCTGTGTTCTGTAAGGAAACCACCTTAGTTCTTCAAAGGAGTCTGGCGGCTTTGAAAAGAACTAAGTAGAACAGCAAAAATGGATCCTTTCTGAAACTGAGGGGCTATTTCTGTAGAGATTATTTCTACCATGACACAATTTCAGACTGTAGGTGGGAAAAAAAACAACCTTTTATTGGATGTGTTCGTATTAGTTACATTTTCCCCTAAGGAAAAGATGACAGCTATTACAGCTTTTTTTTCAAGCTGCTAGCTGATTGATGCCAACTATTGGTGCTTTTTTTTAAATTGTTTTGTACATAGAAGTCATTTAGTTTAGTCCCCATAATATGTCCGAATATGGCACATGTCTAAATGTGCTGGAATTCCCCTCCAAACTCTAAAACCAGCTGAGTCATATGGTTTATTGGTTTATTTACGTACAATTTGAACTTGGGGATGACCCAGTCTGAGAGTCACTTCCAGCTCTTGACCAGACACTTCCAGACTCTCTGTGAAAGACCTTTTGTGCAGAAAAAGTGACTTTGTCGTGTGTGTGTGGTTCTCTCCGGTTTCCCAGACAGGACCAAACTCAAGACAGTATCGAAGGGTGAGTTGATACGGGCACCCAGGAATGTGGCACGTTTGCATTCGCTCTGGTCTCTTACAGTTGCACCTCACTGACCACCCCCCCTTTGCTTTTGTGCTGCTCTTCTCACTCTCTAGCTGCTAAATGCTGACACACAACACTGTGTATTGTAAGGCACAGGGCCAAGTTCATGGTGGTGGAAGGGAAGGGGGGTTCAATGCTCCACACCACAAAGCTCTATTGACAAAGCAACAAAGTGAAAAGATGCAAACAAAAGCATCCCACTGGGTCATTTACCATTACTGCAGTGTCTCCCTGTGGGAGTTATGACCGAGCACTGTCCTTAGTGCCCTGTTAGCAATGTGAGAAAGGTGTAAATATCATCAGGTAAGTGAAAACATGTTGTCAGTTTTGAGCTCCGCATGGTGGGAAGGCTTGATATACATATTACTAACAGATTGAGCTTACATCACCTAACAGTGGGTTCAGCTGTTTGCTGTGTTTGGAAACTAACTCATGGTTGCGGTTTAAATGTCTAATCCAATTTATTTTCAGCAACAGTGGGGTTAAAAGGTGGAATTTAATCTGACTTTTTGGAGTTTAAATGTTCTTCCCCACATCTCATTTGGCACATTGGTGCATGCATTGCTTGGAGTGATATAAATTTTGTCTAACCTTTTTTTTTTTCAGCTTTGGGTAAAGCTTCTGCAAAGATTTGCAAACTAAACATCCCGTGGCCATCTGTACTACTCCTGCTGCTGCTGCTGCTGCTGCTGCTGCTGCTGCTAAGGGCTTTTTATTTCAACTATTCTCTTTCCACAGGAGTAAATCAACAAGCGATATCTTCGATACCACGCCCGTCGTCAGACAGGCCCGTTTTGAAGAGCTGCAGAAATATCGCCAGCAGATAAAGGAGAGTGACGACAAGTGGCAGGATGTGAGTAGAACTGTTTTTTGGGTTTTTTTTTTTTACACACAAACGCTGAAAAGGTACCACAGTTTTGTTAGAAGCAAGAAGTGAGCACATGATCTATGGGATCTGTGCTGCAGTCAGGAGTGCAGGTGTTGTGGTGTCTGAGGGGTGAACGCAGAGTTTGTTGTAGATAGAAGCCAGAGATGGAGGCAGACGCTGTTTGGTGCAGCACTGCCCTCTGGCTATTGACTGTCCTCATTTCCAGTTCACCCTAATTATGACTGGAAACACTGCAATCTGTTAATACTAATATTTTAATTCACGTCAAATAAACGTTTCAAGGGAGTATAGAATGTTGCAAGACAGAGAGGGTAGGACAGGAACAAGATTGGATGTCAAACCGACTTGGGGGGGGTCAAGTTATTTTTGGACAATACATTGCGGTCATGCTCTACTTTTAATAGAAGTTGTACGTTATGAATGATTATTTGTAAGCAGAGATTTAAAGATGAATAAAGTTGTACACATGGATTTGATTGTCTGTAACTGTTCGATTGGTTTCATGGCAAAGTCTCAAAGTAAGCATTTGGGTCACACAGTCCCTAACACACAGGGGAGGTGAGCCGGGAGGAGCCTAAAGCACACAAATAGAACACCTTCAAATGTAGCCCTTTTTCAGGGTTTTTTTTCCCCCCCTCTCCTTCTCAACTTCACTTCTTTCAGCTTTTACACTGACCCATGCAACACAGCCGGTCTGTTTTATCTAGATGAAAGTTTTAAGATTGCACGAGGTGATGTGAGCTGACTTTTATCTGCAGGACCTGAGCAAATGGAAGAGCCGGCGCAGGAGTGTCAATTCTGATATCGTGAAGAAGAAGGAGGAGCGGGAGAAGGTGGAGGAGCTCACCTTCAGCAGCAGCAGCAACAGAAGGTCGATGACCTTCAAGGAGATGCAAGAGGAGAGGTAAGCGAATGAACACCCGATGTGATTTATTTTTTTATGGTTCCTGATGGCATTCGTTTGAATTTTGTGAGGCTGACTTTTTAACCAAAAAAAGCAACACAGACTAAAATCCTTCCTTTGCTACACCTTCTGAACCCTCAGAGGGGGATCACTTCCTAAGGTAATTAAAGAAAATCGTGTGTTTTGGCTGTAGGATCATTTGTGCAGAAGTGAATGAGGAGTCTCACTGTAATTGTGCCTTGAGTCGGTGTGAAAGTGTAATCTAATCACAGCTTACAACCTGCCTCCCTTTTTTTTTGCCCCACCCCTCTCCACCCTTCCCTTTTCATCCTGTGCTCTCCTTTCTGTCTCCCCCCCCCTCTTTTGCCTGTCACTTGTCCCTTTCATCTCCCTAAATTGCTCCCCTCTTCAATTCTCGTCTTTAATGTACCCAATTCTGTCCACTTCTTTCCTATTCACCTCTTTTTGCAACCCCTCGTCTCCTCCTCTGTCTCGTACGCAGAGAAAATAAAGGAAAAAGTGTTGGCAGCCGTCTCAAATCTCTCTCCTACCTCGACGACGACGAGGACGTGTTTGAGAAACCTGTCGCTACCCCTCGTACCCGAAACCTTCCTGCGCGGAGCTACACTATTGACACTCCTCTGAAAGAAGAAGAACCCCGCGCTGCTTCCCCAGCCAAGGGCCGGGCCGCTTCACCTCGAGTCTCACGGGAAGTTGACATTGTGGACAGTCCTGCAGGCAGGGACTCCACCACCACAACCACCACAACCACCACCACCACCACCACCACCGCCACCGCCAGATCTCTACGCAGCTCCCATTCTCCAGCAGATACACCTCCACAAAGGAGTCCTGTCAGAGAATACAGCAGCACAGTCAAAACAGAGAAAACCACAACCGTTCTGCCCTCCTCCAGCTCCACACCAAAAGCGCCCGAGCCAAGGCGCCCATTGTTGGTCACACAAAGTGCGGTGGAGGCCCCTTCCTCAGGTTCTCTGTACAAAAAACAACCACAGACCAGCTCCATGGAACCCAAGCCTCCCGGGGTGTCTCGGGTTTCCGCCTCCCTCCCCAGGAGCTACCAGAGATCGGATAGCGCTCGTCTAACTTCAGTTGTCGCACCGAGGCCCTTCGGGACCCAGTCGTCTCGCATCACCTCCCTTCCTCGACCTTTCACAGTGAGTACGACATCATTTTTAAGACTAATTACAAACGACCAGAGCGGCACAAAAAAAGGGGGGCCGACAGACGTGGGACATATCTGCGTAGAGGGCAGGAGAAGAGAGTGTTTTTGTTTGGCAGTAAGAAACCTTGGCTTTGTTTTATTCAGGTGCCGTGTTGTTTGTTTTAGTGCATCAGTTATTCCCCCAAGAGCCTGATCTGATTACTGTGTAAATAATGCATGAGGCTAGTGTTTTTATGACGCCAGCTCAACAGGCAGAGCTGCTATTTTCAGCCTCCCTCACATTCATTACTGTTACAGTAGATGTATTGCTTGTCAGTTAAAGTTTGTGAACTCTAACTCTAACTTTAATCAGTTTCACACTTAATAAAAGAGTTCAAAGCACATTTATCAGCTGCGTTGCCTCTGTTCTTAGCCCCGTGCCATTCAAGGTCATTTACATTATGTCATTTTTAAGTGTCGCACTCTGCTCCCCTGCTTTTAACCCCGTCAGGTGGATGAATCCCAAAAGCGTTTGAACGGTGGCGCCGACGTTTCAAAGAAGTCGACAGTGCCGAGCCGTTACCACCAGTTCATGACCTCGGAGGACGAGGCTCGCTCCCAGTCCAGCTCGGCCCACTCCAGTGAGGACGAGGACGAGGAGGAGGAGGAAGAGGAAGAGAGCAAGGCAGCACCCAAGAGCGTCACCTCCACTCAGAGTGTCACACCTGTCCCTCCTCAGGTCAAAAGTGTCTCACCCGTCTTACCTCTATTTAAGAGAGAAGCCCCCGTCAGTCCTCCTGCAGCCAAAGAAACCAGCCAGGTACTCAAGTTCACGTCCGGTTAACAAAACAGATCAGCTTGTATGGTGAAGCTTCAAATGCATATTTATGTGTCTGTTTTAAAATTTTATCCAATAATAGCAGCACTTTAAATTCCTCATTTAATCTAGTTTTTGCTTAAATTTCTTCTTTTTTTTCTAAGTAAATTCTAAATGATCCAATGCTACAGCTCAGAAATTTAAATTAGCCACAAGAAGGCATTTAATAAACAGCCATTTATTATTCATGCTACACTTGCCAAAGCAAGTACACACTGCTGCTCCACAGTGATGGAAAGGCAGGGGGCACATTTCTGCACTCAAACTGCAACATGTGACCAGCTGTTTTTGAATATCCTCTCACCCGTGTTGTTGTTGTTTTTTCGCTTTCTAGGAGGACTTCTGTGAGATGCGGATCAGCTTGAACCAGAAGCCAAACAGCAGCACAGACTTTGGCTTCCAGGCGACGTGGGACTCCACAGGAGCTTGCGTCACATCCATCCAGCCAGGTAACAAGAAACAGGGGAAAAAAAAACCCTTCATACCAAAAGGGATTTGAACAGCACTGGTAGAGCTTTACTCTCACCAATATAACAAACTGGCACCCTCAAACTCGATCACCCAGCAGTGAAACTTGGTGTGCAAAGATCAAACAGGCTTTGGTTGTATCTCACGTTAACTGAAGCTGACTGATGTATTCACACATACTAATCCAGTGGAAATACCAGAAAGCATTGCTCGGACTCTGTTACTGTGTATTTTACATCCAGGCTCTGCTGGTTAGTCATCTGCAGGATTTGAGTCCATTGCAGTGGCGGTGCCAGACCTATGTAGGGCAGCATCTATGTGGGTCAAATCTTCTGGGCCTGAGCCTCTCTTTCTCTTTCTCCTCAGATTTTTCCACCTTCCATGTAACTCACGTCATTTAGACACCTCACTCCATCGTACAGTATTTACTCTAGCTTTGTAAACACCAAGGTTCAACCTATACGGAGTGCTACTATAGTCAGTCGTCATACATTATTAACCCTTTAAATCCCAATCGGTCTTTACCTGTAACAACACACATTCATTTGCATTCCTGTAAATGCGCCTGAGATCGCCAGCTGGTCGTTTAAGCAACATGTGTTGACACTATTTAAAAAAGCATATTTAGAAATACAAACAAAGGACAGATACCAAAAAAATCAGTATGCATACAGTAAGAGTCACGTTTAACATATTGTGCAAAGTAGCACACATGCTCTGTTGAGGACATGCAGCTCAGTAGCCTAGTTTAGAGAGCAACAGGACATACATGAGCATCAATACAGTTAATACGATGAAGAACACACACTTTAGTAATGCAGATAAATGAAATGCGATGTTAACAAACAGTTTATTAACTGTTACCGTACACATACAGTACTATGGTGATTGAAATAGTAGCTGCATTGAGCCATTCAGCACAAAATGACACTGTAACAATAAAATAACAATACCACATTTTTTGTACATTTCTAATGAATACATCTTTTGTTTTGTTTTACCTGTTTATGAAAAGTTGGAAAAGTCAAAGTGTGACTCTCTGACATAAAGTACTCCATAAATACATGTTTGTATACATATGCATCATTTTAAATACAGGTAATTCATTTTTACAGTTTAAAAAATAACAAAATGTCCCTCAAAATATAAAAACACACAATGGCTTGGCTGCCTTTAACTTGAGCACTTAGCATCTTTTTTTTTTGTAATTCTATCTTTAGAAAAGCACCTGCAGACAGATTTTCTGTGAGATGAATTCATCCTGATGAGGAGGTGTTTTGAAAATGAAGTGGAGGGTCTGGAGGCAAAATCAATCTACATTTTTAATTGCTTCCTCCCGTAGATGCATTTCCTCTTTTTCCTTTTTAGGTGCATGTGATCCTGAGAATTGCTACTGTAAAATATGATTTATGTCTGTTTTATTGTTTTCTTTTAATGTTGTGAACAGTGTATTGCTGCGTTATTTTCCAGAGCTTAATCTGGGGGGACAGAGATCACATAATCTCTAATCTTTTACAGTCAACTTTAAGATTAAAAAAAAAGAAAGAATATGTGCTCTAATGAGTGTCATCAGAATATGTTACCATGTCAGAACTGTTAACCCTTTTCGAAGGTAATAATGTGTCCCCTTTTCTCATGCAGGTAGCCCGGCCGAGATGTGCCAGCTGCAGCTGGGAGACAAGGTGCTGGCGGTGAACAGACACCAGGTGGCAGGCATGAGCTACACAGACTGGAAATCCTGCATGGATGAGGCTCTGCAGGATGGTAGTCTGATTATGGATATACGTCGTCATGGCCAGAACAGTGAGTCATCTCAACAATGTGTGTGTGTGTGTGTGTGTGTGTGTTTGCATGAAAGCAGGAGATTGCATTGAACCACTGTAGGGGATGCATTCCTGGACTGACAGTGCTGCTTACTCTACCTGCGTCGCTAAACAGTTTTGACACTTTAAATTGGTCCGTAAACTGTTGTGAAATCATCCATGAATGATGTCATGACAGCTGGGGAAGGACCTGTGACTTTTTTTCCCCTCATCTAGCGAGGACACGTTGTTATTGTGTTGACATGAGTGGGTTACTACTTTTTCTATTGTTATCCTGTGTGCATTTCTCTCCTGTTTTTACGGTTCTTTTCTTGTGATTTCTACTGGTGTTTTTCTTCTTTTTGCTGCCTCTTCTGTCTCATTAGAATTCCTTTCTGGTGTTTTTTTCTTGTGGAAACTAACGCAGCTCAGGTCTAGGCTCCTCTTGAGTGTGCTGTTCCCATAGTGTTAGTATAACAGGCTAACTTATTCCAACTACTTCAGGGTCACCTTACCTTCCCCAAAAATAATAAAACAGCCAGAGTAGCTCACTTGAACTAACACTGGTACTTGCTGAAGTAGCTAAGTGAAGCCCTGTGTGTTGGTGAGCCTGTTAGAAACACTGTGTGGGTTTATAAAAGCTTGAATATGCTGCATGGCTGGGGAAGGTGTTTCTCTGTCCCCCTCCCTGCTGCTCTGGGATAACATCATAACATCAACCTCGTCCCCTGGTCCTAATGTACATAGACCGCTTCCTGTCGAATCTTTAGAGTCACCATCAACCGTTTAAAAGAAATGGACATCAATTCTGATTTTGAAGTGGCAAACATATAAGAAAATACAACGAGGTATTACAGCTGCAGCGAGGAAAAATCTTTGACTGCAAGAATGAAGTCGTAACAGAATAAAGTTGTTATATTTCAAAGAAAAAAGTTTGGTATTAGAAAAATGAAGTTGTAATATGAGAATAAAGTTGTACCATTTTGAGAATACAGTAGTTACATTATGAAGAATATATTAGTAATGTAATGAGAGAAAAGTTGCACATTTTAGTCTATGGTTAGTTTATTTATTATTTAAAGGGAAATAACAGAACAGCAGCCAGCTGCCTTTGCTAAAGTGAGAACATCTTGTGAAGTTATATTTCATTAATAACTGAGTACTGAACTTTTAGCACATCAGTATCACATTGGAATAAATATCAGGACTCTGAGAATTGCACAATAAACTGAATTTAATTCTAAGAAGGGCAGTCTATGAGGCAGTAACATCTTATATGTTTTTTTTCTCACAAACTTTTGACTTAGTTAACTTTATATTATGACTTGATTCTCAAAATATTGCAAATTTATTCTCAAAATTCTAAAAAAAATGTGATGGGTTATTTTCTTTATTTTCAGAATAGCTTCATTTATTACCAAAGTAAACACTTTGTATTTGACTTTATGGTCCCTATCTCTAGTTTATGATCCTTTTTTGAATAAAGCATGATATGCTTTAGGACCAGGCTACCAGTTAATGTTAATGTCAAGTGGATACCGCCACAACCTTTCTACCAGGAAAGAGAAATGTGTATCCACCCTGTCATCCAAATATGGTCACTTCTGCTTACAAACTTCAGCTCCAAACGAGGGGTTCACAAACCAATGTGTGACCTCACAGTTGTCATGTCCACTTCTTTTATGCAGTGTAGAAGTTTCACTCCTACACAACAAATACTACGTGTAGTGCACAGAAAACCAGTTTGAAGTGTACACACACATCCTTTGCTTTGCCGTTTGCATTGTCTGGGTGCAGACTGGGACAGAGATCAACCTTCCCTGCCATTTAAAAGCCATAAGATCATCAATCTGACCAGTTCGGATCATCCAATACTTCTAGGTTCCTCTGACAAAAACATTGTCAGCCCCAGCCTGGATTTCACCTCTCGCATTTCCCCGGAGAAAATGCCATCCAAAGAGACTCCCACCCACCAAGTCATCGTAAGTGACCCTGAATGGCTCCAATATCATGACGCTTTTTTATTCCTGTATTGTTTTCCCGAGTCGAGTCTCTTTTTAATGAGCAAACTACATGCTGCGTCTCCCTGCAGGATGTGGCTTCAAACGGCGTTAATGGAGGTTTCCGCGAGGAGTTGGTGACCATGAGGAACAAAGGTAAAGAGCAGAGCGAACAGTGCCAAAGGTTATGAAATTGATCCCGGTGATCTGTACTGAATACAAAACGGCACAACGAGGGGACTGCATGTATCTGATTTAGCTTTGGGAGAAAGTTTTTGCAAACAGTGGACTGTTGCAGATTATATTGATGGATACTTTCTGTTATGTCACAGAATGTGAGATATATTCATGAGCAGTCTAACCCCGGATCCTCCCTTCACATAGATAGTAAAAGATTAACTAGAAGCACGGTGAATGGCACCTTTAATATACAGACTTTTAGATCAAAAAGTGGCTTCTGCACAAACGGTTGACAAGTTGGGAACTACTATTTACCAACAGCAAAACAAAGCTTAAAGATAGGTTAGTAAAAGTCAAACCAGAGTTGTACTAATTTAAATGTATTACAGATGCACCGATGGATCAGTTGAACAACAATGATATTGGGCTATACTTGACATTGGCAAATAATATGGCATGCACCAATGTCAGTAGCCTACAGTATGTATATCTGTTGTGTCATTTCAATTTAATGATGGCAAGCCAATACACTTAACAGCTGATGCAGAGGAGATGTTATTTATTAGGCAGGAGAATTCACCTGTTGGACGAGTATTGGAGTCTTTCACTGTCTCTGAGGAAGATCACTGACATGCAGTTTGTAGGACATGTTCCTCCAGTGAAATTTCAAGAGGAGATATTAATAACAACAGTTTTAAATACATTGAATCTCATAACTCATTTGAAAAACAGACACAAAGAAGTAATGATAAAAAAAAACATTGGAAATGTCAATCGTCTATTTTCAACATGGGCACATCAGTGCACCTCTACTCATTATACTCTGAATTACTCAGATGCATGCCGTTTTTTGCAGTGGTATAGTATCTGTTGAGTCAATCTGTAGATACTTGACTCCACACGAGAAAGAGTCAGGGGACCCAGATGGCTTAAGTTGAAGTTGTTTAAATTTGACCCGCGAGGAGAAATGACATGAACAGCACACCGACCGAACCACAGGCTTCATATTTATGCTAAAGATGACGCTAAAAGTCAGGGACATGTTACCCTACCTACTCTACATAAAACTTGAATGTGAAGTTAGATGCCATAGATAATGGAGAGCAGACAAAAAAAGCCAGATATGAGGGAAGACAAAGAGACCTTGGTTGTCATAGTTACGGCCAACCTTCAAATTATGCTGTGGGCTTATTGTTGTTTGTGACGCTGAACATTGTGTGTTTTAATTAGAATATAAATGTTAAGGCCCAACTAGGGACAAAAGTGGAAGATAAGCATAAGCATACGCAGCATGACCTGTACTGAAACCATGTGAAATGTTCTTCATACCAATCAATTATAATCACATTTAAATACAATGATATATGGAAAAGAACATTTACTGAATGAGTAAGTCATGTATGAGTGTTATAAAGTGGATATCCGCTGGTGAAACGTGTTAATCTCATCAAAGTGCCTCACTTTTTCTTGTTTTCTATCCCTCATGTAGAGTCAGAACCCTTATCTCTGAAAAACTTAAAGCGGAGGTCAGAGTTTTTTGAAACAGGTAAACCAATACGACAGAATGACTTGCTTTTTGGGGTTGTTTTCCTAGAAGTTAGAAAGAGTTCTGTGTGTAATCTGGTGGCTGGGTTTTCTATGCTTTTGTTTTTCTCGCTGAATTTCCTCCGATTCCTACGGGGAGTGTTGCATGTTTTTCCTGATCTGTCAAAGCCTCATTTTCAATTGATAACAAGTCATTATCAATTGATCGTGAGCTGTCAAGATTGCAGTCGGTTTCCTCACTGGCTCTTCTTTCAGGGGAGCTTTTCTGTTTTTCTGTTTGGTGTCAGAGCTTAACCTGTTGTGCTGTTGCCCCCCTTCCCCACACTTTCCCCCCCTTTAGGTGGCTCAGGGTCCAGTGTCAGTGCGCTGGTCTACCTCTGTGGTAAACAGGGTTGAGTGTGCAGTGACTTCTTCACCTTATCTTGGTACAAACTGGGACTCTGAAATGCTTTTAAAACCAAGGAAATCGAGTGATGTTTTATAGAAATCAAACTCTTCCAAGGCAGTAAAAGAGATAAAGATAACGATAATGATAAACTTTATTGATCCCCCATGGGGGATTTTTTTTTGTCACAAACAGCTCAAGAAACAGGAATATAATTATCAAAAATAACAAGAAATTAAAAATCAAAAGTTTTTTTTGCATAATTTTTTGTAAAATATAGCTGAAAAATCCTCAATTTACTATCAGAATAAAGTTCAACACCTATTTGTTGGCAGGGAAAAAGACACAAATTAAAGAATATATATATTAAAGAGTCTAAGCAGCATTTCAGAAACGTTTCCAGAGTACCAACCATAAACACATTTTTTTAAATCCTGTTGTGTTTATGGTGTTTTTTTGGATTGGTGTGCAGGCTTAACACACGGTTGCACATTTCACTTAGCTGTGCATGAAGATAAAAGCATTCCCTGTTGCTCTCGTTGACATGCATGTATTGAAGTGTGTGTTTCAGCCTGTCAGACTGTCTGCATTGCACTTGTGGTTTTCGCTTCTGCATGCTGCTAAGATGTGTGATGTTTTTTTTTTTTTTGGTTTGATCTTGTTGTCCTCACAATCAGTTTATTGATTTTTCTATTCAGAACCATCGGGCCGGCAGCCAATCTAAATGTCAGCAAGTGGGAGCATTTTGAATAGAGAGAATCAATAAGTCGTAGTGGGTGAAGTTTGACCTTTACTCAAGGCTTGTCTGAAACATCAATTACTGTTAAAACGGTTTTAAATGATGAATTTGTGCTTCACTTGGAAGAGAAAAAAAAACAAGTCGGGAACTTTAATAGGCTTGTCATCTGATGTGGCCTCGAGGTTAACTCGGATCTGTTGCTCAGTCTATGCATGCATGATGTATTGACTGATTATATGTCTTTCTTTTAAAGGAGGATCAGAGTCTGTGATGCCAGATGTGAGTATAACAATTACTGCTGAAAGGACCTTTATTTGTCTGTTTTGTTTTGATTTCTCTAGATACCACAGTGTTTTATCAACGTCACATAGAATGCATTACTGGTTTACTTCAAGCGCTGCTCCACTCTGCCTCTTAGACCTTTTAGTCGTCCAATTACTCTACAATGTTGATTGCGGGGAGCTATTTTATTCATGTATCTTGGCTAATGAAAAGTAGAACACTCAAGGGTCAGAGGATACATTGTGGTTTGTGGGGTACAGCAACTGAAGATGAAAAGAGAAGCTTCATATTTGGCTAGATAGAATGATTAAACAAATGCATGTTGTTCTTCAGATACCCGTTCCTCCCATCACTACACCCTCCAGTCGCTGGTCCTGGGATCCAGAGGAGGAGCGCAGAAGACAGGAGAAATGGCAGAAGGAGCAGGAGCGCCTCCTACAGGTATATACGGGCATGCTAATGTCAGTTAATTAGTTATACCTCATTTTAAAATGAATAACTCAGTCCAGTGAAAATAAAAATGACTTCCCAGTAGCATGAAGGTTACAACAACAACAGTTGGTTTCAGTGGTGATTATGTTTTTAATGGTACTGTAAATTACAGGTTGTTATTCTGAGAAAAAGCTGTAACAAAAACAGTGAATATAAGTCAAAAAAGTGGAAGAATTAAAAAGAAACATTTCAGAAATAGAACGAGAGAAAAAAGGGTTTAACTTTCCTGAGGGATTTTTTGTGCAGCAGTCACTGTACAAATAAAAAAACGATGGCAAAGATTAGGAGAGTAAATCTGATCCATCCAAAAAGTCATCACAAAATCATAACATCGGGGTGCTGATAGCCTGGCGGTTGTGTCCCCGAGCACCATGTGCTGAGACCTCGTTGCAGCTTCCCTGGATTTGGATCGGACTGTGACCCTTTATCATCCCCCGACTCTTCTCCTGGCATTTCCTGTCTCTCCTCAGCTGTCCTATCGAATAAGGGCAAAAAGGCTCAAGATATAACTTTTTAAAAAATCAATAAAGGAAGTATAGGTATTAGACTGTTGGTTTAAACCAGTGGTTCTCAGTTTGGACATCAGAGTTTGGACATCAGAGTTTGGACATCAGAGTTTGGACATCTGACGGTACAAAGCGGGATAGAACAAAGAAACTGTATGAAATAAACTTGTTTTAAAAAAAAGCACTTGAAAAGACTCTGAAAACAGCTCTGCGACCCATTTTTGGGTCCTGAACCACCTGTTGAGAACCACTGGTTTAAACTTCCCTTAAAAGTGGGAACTGAGTCCGCAATAAAACACAAAGAAATACCAAAGGAGCAACACTCACAATCCATTTGATCTGAACCATCTAGTTTGGAAATCTGTTGCATGCTCGGTCTGACAGTGAGACGAGTCACTGAGAGCTTGAAATGAAAGGGTTAGGGAGTCTCACAATCAGACTTCTCCTTCTCGGCTCAAAACAGAAACCTTAACAGAGACAGCTGAGGATAAAGCACCTGACGAGTATCCAACTTAAATGTAGTCGAATCCTGTCAAAACATTTTTCTGAGGCTCTATTTCTGGATGGAGATCAAAGGTGTCCAAGCGGAGCGCTGATGGAGCCGGGGAAGGCTCGTTACTCCTCCAGTGTTTCTCCCTGTTGGATTCACGGCCTGATTTTTATGATGTGCTACGGAGACTTCCAGCCGAGGGCGAGCTTCTCGAGATTTATCAGCTTTCCACAATGTCGGTTAGATAACATGCAGGGGATGTCAGGAAGAGCCGAAATAATACAGCTGCAATCTCTTCTTCGTTTTTTTACTCATTTTCTACGCTTATTATTTGCACAATATGTTAATAAAATTCAAATACTCCAATAACTTCTGTTGTTATTTAATCATTTGACTGTGACTGTGTAATCACACATGCCCTTTGGACTCCCCCTGCTTCTTTCATGCAAAAGTTTTTACCCATTTTTTTCCACTTTTTGCACAGTTCTGTTGTGATTTTTTTTAAAGATTTTTTATTAATTTGAATCATTTATTTTTGTGTGGGAATTCATATTACATAGGTTACCTTTTGACATCCCTCCCTGCGTCTTTACTGACAAAGTTTTCACAATTTTTGTCCCCTTTCTTCACACAATATACTTCTATTATTCACTTTCTTTAAAGATTTAAGGGTTGTTGTTTCATGATTGATCATCGTTATTTATGTGACAGTGTGCATGCTTGTAATTAAATGTATGACATTGATCTCTCTCTCTCTCTCTCTCTCTCTCTTCTTGCTCTTTTCTCTCAGGAGAAATATAAGCGTGACCAGGAGAAACTGCAGGAAGAGTGGCTCAAGTCTCAGGAGGATATTACTAAGAGTGGAGACCAACGCCAGGTAACATTTTAAACCTAACATTCACAGCAGAAAAAGGTGGGAATAAGTTGGGACTTTAAGCAACAAATTCTCAAAATGAACCCAAAAAATGTAGGTAATATTGGTCTTTGAAATTGGGGTAATTATGCAGCAGTTACATAACTATCAGCTGTTGCTTCTGACTTTTAAATGTCAGTTTTTCTCATAATGGATAGTTTAAGTAAGAGCAGAACAATCGCAAACCTCAGGGAATAACACAAGTTGATCCACTTTTGTTGCACTTCCTCCTGTAGATAAGTGGAGGTCAGGCAGGCCATCATGTGTTCAATGCTTCCTCTTTTGTGTCCTTCTTTCTCCCTTGCAGCCCGTCAGCCTCGAGGTGAACAGCCACGGCATCGGCCCGCACTCCCCTCTCTCTCCCATCAGCCACGCCGTCTCTCCTCCGTGGGAAGAGCAAGAGAGAAAGAGGAAGGAGGAGCAGGAGCGCCAAAGGCAGGCGGAGGAGAGGAGGAGAAGGGAAGAGGAGGAGCGGGAGCTGCAGCGGCTGCAGGAGGAGAGAAAGAGGAGAGAACGGCTGGAGGAGGAGGAGAGGAAGAAGATGGAGGAGGAGGAGCTGAGATGGCAGAGGAGGAAGGAGGAGGAGAGAGAGCTGGAGAGGAGGAAGCAGGAGGCTTTGGAGCAGCAGCGCAGGGAGAGAGAGAGGGCCTTCGAGCAGCAGCAGCAGCAGCAGCGGTCAGTAGAGACGCTGCTCCTCTCACTTTACTTAAACGCCTCCTCATCTGCCGTCATCGTGCATAACACATATAAGTGCAAAACATAACCTGCTTCATTGTGTGTGTGCATTAACATGTTTGCATGTGCTCTGTGTCTTAACCCTCGTCCCTCCTCTTCCTCACTCGGTCACTAAAGGACTGCTGGCTCCTACGGCTTAGATCAGCGTGCACTGTCCTTTACAGACAGGTCAGTACAGGAGCTCACTCTGAATCTGCTGCTATAACATCTTCTGCATTGAGCTTATATAAATGGTGTATTTGCACTCATCAAACCTCTTCTTACATCTTGTGCTTTTACCCTCACACATGCTTATTTAACATCTTATTCTAACCAGTAGGAATACATGAAACAGTGCCTCAAGATGATTGCACCCTTTTATTAAAAAATGTTTAAGGCAATTTTTCTCAGGTCCCCCACTCTAGCATGTTTAATCAGTACAAATAAATAATTCATGAAATAGTTTATAACATATTGTGATGTATTTTTTTTAACACATATAAGTAGGGTAGCCAACAAGGGCGATCGCACTCAACCCAAAAGATTTTCAGTTGAATAAACCATCTGCTTTCTGATCATGGTGCTGCCCTGCGGCCACACTGTTGTAGTTTGTTGTGTGATTTGATATTTCGTTACTGCATTGCAGAGCACTGTGGAGTCCAAGAATAATTTCACCCTGTGCGAATTAAGTTCATCGTATCTTATCGAACTCAGAAACGATGCAAATTAAAAAAAAATCTCTGCAATCATCCAGAACAAATACGAAAAACAGAAACGTGCTGCCAATGAAAAGCATTTCTGCAGAAAGATGCAGCAAATGCATGCACTGAAAAACATACTGCAAACATGTAAACAATGCAAAGTCAAACTGAGTACAAACCCAGAAAACAAGTACAAAAATCTGTGGGGAATCTTTTTTTAGAGTTGAGCAGACCTTTATGTAAAAGGGTCTTTTAATGTATTTCTCAACAACAACAACAAAACCTTCTCCTGTGGGCCCCTATAGGTGGAGACTTGTGTATAATCATAGATGAATTGTTTCTATAACACATGATTGTAAAGATGTTAAATGTGTCACCATGAGATAAATTTAACTAAGTGACAAATACTGTCTTTTGATAAGCACTTAAAATGTCTCATATATCTTCTTATAACTGCATGATAGGATGTTACCATGCAGAGATGTGAGCTGCTTACAAGTACAAAGCAGAGAGACTTGAAGTGTTTCAGGTTTTATCTGAGTAAACAATAAATATTGCTTTCAGATCAGCCTCTCCAGGTTTCCTAGTTTACCTTTTTTTTTTTATACTTCATGAGTGTTTAAATCTATGCGCCAGAAGTTACCCTAGCAACACAATTAGTTATTTTCTTTATTGTACTGAAAGTGCCAAAAAAGTGTCTTAACGAGTCTCAAACCGTGCCAAAACACGAACACCTCTTTCAGATAAACTGTACAGCAGGTAGCATACTAGTTATTAGTTGATGTGATGCTCTACATCTTGTGTTCTTTCGTTACATCTTCCACACATTCCTCAGTACAGAAGAGTACTGGCACTTCTTGAGTGTCCAGGTTTTGTTTCCTGCTGGCTCTATTTGAACCGAAACATTCAAAATATGTGTCAGTATATTGAAAGTGGAAGTCCTGCAGCTCGTGGGATAGAGCTCCAGCCGAGAGGAGAATTACATGTTGCTGTTCTGCAATCAGCAGAGCAGTTTTACACATCATTTTATGTCGATAACAACTAACACAAAGGTGTGCTCTGTGGCCTCTATATATATTTTTAAAAAAAGACTACTGTACATTTGATTGCTTTAACGCTTCCAGTTATTTTGAACAATCGAATGAGCACTTTCTTTTGTTTGATAGGGCGAAATCCAGATCAACTCCCCAGCTTGATGAAGAGGAGAAACCTCAGAGGAGAGGTCAGTGTCCTTTCTTTTTTTTGTATTTGTAATAAAGTGAACTTTAACCTGCAGGATTTGATGGCTGCAAAAGCAAAGTGAGACTGAGAACATTAAAATATTGGCCTGTGTTTGATAAAGTACTCCATGTTTGACTGTCGCTGCACACACACATGTGGGCTGTACTCTGCTGTAGGTGTGCATGAGCAGCTCGGGGGCATGGCTCACTGGCTGCTGGAGGAGCAGTTCAGGAGTGCTCGAGACTTACAGGCCCAGATTGAGCGGGCTTCTTCAGAGCTGGAGCTGGAGAGGAGAGACATCCTCAATGCCATGAGATACAGAGAGCCAGAGAGAGGTGGGCTCGGCCCCCCGGAAAAAAAAACCTCCGCCTCTCTCTTTTTAATCTGAAACCAAATCAGTGCACTCCTTGATCATCTGATCAGTCAGTTGTGACAGACAGATGTGTGATTTCCTGCTGAACAATCAAATTGTAAATCAGTCAGTCAGCCGACGAGACAAACTCATTGATTGCAAATTCTGTCAGGTTGATGCAAATTGGATTTTATGATTTAATTATTCTAAAAAACAATGATGTAATCAAATCAAAAACAACATCACAACTTTATTCACTTTATCCCAATCCCAATTTGATCTTATTTTATATTGTTATATTTATATTACCAAACAACAGAAAATAAAACGACAAACACAAATCAAAATGATTTTTCCAGACCTCTTGAGAGATTCGACGTCTGACTTCCATTAAACCTCCTATCATTTCATCCATCATCATCATGTATACTTTCATCTCTCCCCTCTGGGGCGCAGTGACGGGCAGCGGCGGGTTAGATAAGAAGGGTCAGCCGCTCTCGACGCACGCCGAGTTGGAGCGGCAGCAGATCCTGGATGAGATGAAGAAGAAGACGCCGCTGCTGACCGACAGCAGCTGGATCCGCCAGCGCTCTGCTGAACCCTCAGCAAACAAAGACCAGGACATGTCATCCATGCGCAGGTAGAGTAAAATAATTGTTGTGTGACGTTGGTGGTTGGCTTTTTTTTTTTTTTACACTTACTAATATCCATTTAGCTTAATTGAAATGGTTTTTTTCTGTCTGGCTACCACTCTTAATTCTGCATTGGCTGATTTGTTTGAAGAATTAGTAAATTAACTGATAACAGTGTCGGCAGAAAGAAGTGGTAGCCAGACAGCTTAAAAGCCTTTACTAACGGGCTAACGTTGGTGTGGCGTGGGTTGGCTTGCAGAGGCGAGTCTCTCGACAACCTGGACACCACCTACAACTCCTGGCGCTCATCGTGGACACCAAGAAGCAGCTCTTCCATCCCAAACTACAGCCGCCCTCACTCTGCCCTCTCCGGCGTCACTAACTCTTACCAGGGCTGGTCAGGGTCTCATAGGTCAGGCTCCTCCACTCTGCCCTCCTCCTACTCCATGGGCTCCCTGCGAGGTGGCACAGGAAACTCCTCGGCCCCTTGGTCCCGGCAGTCTTCCTCTCCCTCCCTCTCCTCTCTGTCACCCACCACCTCTCCGGAGCCCACGTCGGAGGCAGGCGGCCCTCAGCAGAGGAGCAGGTAAAACGCTGCTTCCCCTAACAACCGCCAGCAGGCCGCCTCTAACCTCTCACTGGTATACTGGGTTACATGATCAGGGTTAAGTTGGTGTTTAAAACCTTAAGTTGGGATGGGAAGTGGTGGCAATGTGACTACAGTTATTTTCCACTTGTGCATGTTTTTTAAAGTGCTGTTGTTGTTTCATATGATATTCTTTAATGTAACCTTCTCTACCCAGTTTCTATACAGACTTTTTTTTTTTACTCATTCCTTTTTATTTAATCGTGCACCTACAGCATGGTGCATGTTTGTATGTTTTTTCATCAAGTTTTGAAGCAAAGGTCTAGCACTGATATTTGAAGAGTTGAATTCTGGTCATTATTTGAGACTAATTATTCAAATACTTGAAGATCTTTTTTTTCTGAATCCTTCAAAAATAGACTTTCAACAGAAAAAATTCTTAGAGGCAACATAACATTTAAAAAAAAAAAAAAAGGAAATGGTTTTAATCAAGTGATAGTCATACATGGGCGTATTTTCTTTTTTTGTGAGGGCCACAATTATCTCAATATTAATGTTTAACAAAAGGCCAATACTGTGGCCAGGTGAAACCCTGTTGTATACCTGTGTGACATTTGTTGTGTGTGTGTGCGTGTGTGTGCTTACATACATGTGTCATGCATGTGTGCTCAACCATAATATCAAAGCTGTGCGTTCTGTAATCCAGGTCAGTAAGTGGAAAGAAAATCTGTACCTACTGTGACACCGCGCTGGGAAAGGGAGCAGCCATGATCATCGAGTCCCTCGGACTCTGTTATCATTTGGGCTGTTTTAAGGTGAGAGCTGGGCTCCAGACGCCCCCCTCCTCCCCCCGGAGCACTTCGCCGGCACTCCGCAACCGATCCTAAAAAAAATCTACACTTAAAACTCTTTTTCTGTTTCTACTAACACCGATGAATCTCAAGATCCTGATACACCTGTCCAAAGTAGATTTTCTGTGCCAAAACCTGTAGGCCAAACTCGTCCTTCCCTGACTTTCTTTCTCTCTATCTTCATCCAAGTCTGGAGTTGAGCTTACCTGGAACTTTAGTCTTCCCTTCAGTTTTGTCTCCCTCATCTGAATCCATTCATCCTGCGAATGTTTGTCCCTCCCTTTTTTGTTCTAGGTGTTTATCTCTGTCCTCGTTCCTCCTGTCTTTGGACTTGGTTCCTTTGGTTGAGTTTATTCCGTAAAGTATTCCTTTAACTGTCGTCTTTCCTCAACTTCCTCAGTGTATCGACTGTCATTCTGAACTCGGGGGATCGGAGGCTGGGGCTGAAGTCAGAATACGAAACAAACAGCTCTACTGTAACTCCTGCTACATGCGATTCAAAAGTGAGTATGAAGCCGAAACCGATCAGCCTCATGGCGCGTTTGTTTTCATCTTTCTTTCAGTCTGTGATGATTTTTTTATTTATTTTTGTCTTTCAGCTGGCCAGCCCACCGCTATGTGATATGACCGTGCTCCAGCAGATTGATGAAGAAAGTACTTGTGACAACAACCCGTGAACTTTAAAAGTGAACATTGAAGCCATTGCGAAACAGCCGGGGGGGCACTTTGGTTTGGAATTTACTTCCGTTTTAAAACTCGCTGATGAGAATTATATTTGCGCTTTTATTCGCGTGTGACTAAAAGGGGGGTAAGCTTGCAAAGATGTTATCTACTTATATCATGTTAAGTATTACTGTTGTACAAAGTGTAAGGGTCCTGCATGCACCAGAGTATTTAATATTTTAGCTACAAAACTAGTAAAAAAAAAATTGTCAATAAGGTTTTCTGAGGCAAATTTGAGTGAATCGAGAGAGAATTGTGGAGGATTTGTGCTGGATCATCTCTTATTCATGCTTCTTCTTCTTCCGCTCCGTCTTGTGGTATTAACGCTTTCGTCGCCCAAGGTATTCTTATCATGTCAATGTGCCTTTTATGTCTGTAACAGGGAGAAGTAATTAAGATTGTTAGAGCTCTTTTCAAATATGTATTTAAAAAACCGTACGCTCGTCTTGATTGTTCACTGATAAATGGAGGATTGTGCACACCAGCAGGGTTCCAGGTGAAGAATATATCATCCTGAATGGCATCGGACAGTAAACATTTGTAAATAAAACAACAAAAAAAAAGCTCATCTCCTGTGTGTTTATGTTGACTTTCTCCGACTGTGAAATCGCAATGATTCTCTGTTATGATATTGCCGGCCCATGATGCAAAGCTTTTCCTGCCTCTGTAATCAGAAATCATTATACTCCTCTTTCTCTGCCCGTCCCCGTCCTTCTCTGTTTCTCTGTAGTGCCACAGTCGTAATGAAAGGAATTTCAATGAGCTTTTGTGCAAAAGGGGTTCAGAGGACCTGCCTGCTCTGTGTTCTCCAAAGCCAATTTGTCATGCATATTTCATCCAGTGTGCATGCATTACATTTGATTACACTTTGATAAGCTATTTTCTTCATGCATTCTGTCGTTTTCAGCCGTTTCATGAAATCATATCTGCATAAACATTATATGGAATATTCATATATGTGGAGGCTCTCCTGTTTGTTCAACCTGAAGCTCCAAAATGTTTTTTTTATTATTTTAAATCTTCCTCATTTCCCATAAATCGAAATAAACTCAGTTTCTGCAACATATGGAAAAAGATTGGACGGCGCACAAACAGTCTCGGTTTCCTTGAGGTGAAGCACACACAGCCCCTGGAGGCAGGCATCTCAAATTCTCGGATTCCTTTATTTAGATTCCTGTTGGCGCTCTCGTGGGAGGAAGAGATGTTAATCCTTACGCTTAGAAAACAAGCACGGCCTGAATGGCGCCAAGCAGAGTCGAGTGACTAAGAAATTCTAAACCTTTCAGCATGATCAGCCGTCCCATGTTTTCCCCCCTTAAAACAAAAAAGTCAAGGATGCAACCAGACTGATGTAAGAGGAATCAAATGGCGTGCATGTGTTTGGGCTTACAGAGAGACAGTTTTTACCTTCCTGCTCTGAAGAAAAGAGTCGGTAAAAAGATGGAGGACAGATGGAAGAGCTTAGACATGCTCGCTCTCCCCTCCATTTAAAATATAGTCATTCCTATCTATGAGCTCCTTTTTAATGCTCTACCCACGAGACGGAAAGAATCAAACATTTCTTCAAGAATTGGAGGCCCATGGGAAGGATTCTTCACCCAATTGTGAACATACCAGAGTGACTGATAATCATGCAGCATTTCCTCACCACTGTTGAGCGTTATGAAGTTTTCTTTTAAGCTTTGCTGGAGCCAAAAGGGGGCACTGTGATCTAAGATTCATGCTAAGTAAGACTGCAGCTGTATCTAACTTGAGTTACTTGCACTTCTAAGCATGTCATGAACACTGCATACTTCATGATAAGTAGAAACATGTTGCCTTGACCACAGCAGCATATTTGCATAATAATTATTTATTTGGATCCCCATAAGCTCCTGTATTGCATCAGTAGCTACCTTTCCTGCATATAAAAAGCAATACTACATATCCCTGCAACATGATTCAACAATGACTGACAGACAAAGACAGATAAAAACATGCAAGTACCAATTATAAGAATACAAAAATAATGTGTATTGGTATCATTTAGACTTTTAGTTTAAACATTACTTTCTGAAATCAAGCAATTTGTTTATGATTGTTTTGCAAATATTGCTTGATAATGAACAGAACTCTGTTTGAATTGTACACGGTTTCAGATTTAGATCATGTTTATTGTCCAACAAGAGCACATTTGATATTGATATAAAGCAGGAGCACACAGAAAGACACGATACAGATGGATTACATCAACAGTAAAATAAGAGCCAATTAAAATCAGACGTAAAACTCAGTCCAAACTTAAAGGGGACATATTATGAAAAATCTACTTTTGCAGTGTTTTTGAAAATATATTTGCGTAACCTCAGTGTTTAAAGACCCACAAAATGTGAAATAAATCCATCCAGTCCTTGTTTGTGGTCTGTATAAGTCTTACAATATAGAGAAAAATGCAAATTTGCTCTCCTTGTGATGTCACAGTGGGATTCTGCTAAAAAAAAAACTCCCCTCCCCTGGTATCTCCACCCCCAGTCTAGAGCAAAACTTTTGTGCAGGTCTGCCATTTTTTTTCTCGCTAGCAAAGGAGTGATATCCACCGTGGGAAAACTCAGGGGGGGCGCATTGCATTTAAAAGACACACACACCGAAACGGAGCGTTCTGAGAGGGCTGGTTTATACAGGGTCACTAACCTCCTCTGGTGCTTGATTCATGTTATATTTTGACCAAAGCACAGCACAGATGTTTCATTTAGACCACAGGGACTGTTTGAAAAGGTGGAAAAGGGGGATAATATGTCCTCTTTAAATTACACAAAACGTCCTTATATGAATGTCAAGTAGAGCTATGATGTCTCTCTGGAAAAAGAGATAGGATACAATAAAGTTTTTCCAGGGTTCTAGTTATTTTTTAAGAGAATAATGTAACCTGCTCTTTAATATACATCAAGCTTAATGATATAAATTTTGTCCTCACTTTAACTCAATGTCATCTGCTTTGTTCTGTGAGGACTGTAACCACATTTTTTTTACAGCCCATATCACTGCTCAATAGTCCAACTGATACAACACAATATAATGCAGATAACATTATAAGATGCTGTGTTTTATTTTGAAAATTAATCATGATTGAGAGCACGTTTTGGCTCTCGTTTTTATCAGAAGTGATGTCATCAGACTGGGACGATGTTCTGTATTTTTCGTTCGTGAAAAATACATATATTAATTCACTTCTAACCTACAAGAAAAAACCTATTTGATCTAAAATGAAATAAAAACATTGTAGTCCAGCTGCATCTTCTGCCATTTTAGAAGAAATGCTTTTCACACTTAAGAGGAGCCACCAGGCACTAATTCACCTGCAGCCTGATCTGATGCTATAATTAGTCATGTAATTGCACACTTGTCTCACCAGACCTGTTGCCATGGCTTGCGGGCACCGTGCATACGACTTGATGCGCTGTCAAATAAAATTAACTACAGAGATTAAAGGAAATGGATTATAAGTAAACCTGGAAATTCACACAGAGAACATCAGGACGAGAGACTGTTCTCCACTCACAGTGGCATATTCAATCCCCACTAGATTTTGTTTAACCGGAAAAAATGAGGCATGAATACGACAATCATTGACAACATGAGCAGGCAGCATACCATTAAAGTGATGAAAATACCACTTGTATGATAGTTATAATGTATTCATGTGAGCTCGGGAAATTATGGCTCTCCAGGAGAAATGATGAATCCAGTGCGTTGATTTAATTACAGTTCAGAGAAGCAGCTATTGGATATTATTTGGAAATGTTAGAAGGTGAAGCTAAATATGCCATGAACTCTGACCAAATACCTTGCGAGGCCATAGAGGCGATTAAGAAGTGTATCGATTTTTTTTGCAGCGTATAATTCATAAAGCTGCTTTATGCTCTCTCACGGTTCAGGCGTTAAACGTCATTCTTCGTTTTAGATCCAATCTTCAAACTAAACGCTTGAATCTTTAATGTGCTCTGTATATGCAACTGCTTCTTTGTACTCTAGTGGATTAATTATTACAGAAATATTACCAGCAGCTGCATATCTCATACAGCTGCTCAGTCAAACTGACAGATTATGGGACCAAAGTCTCATTATTGTTGTTTTGTGTCTCTGTTGTTGTAAACGTCTCCTTGACACCTTATGTGTCTTATTTGTTGCTTTGAGTCAATTCATCTTTTTGTTTGTTGTTTTTTTAGGCTGTTTGGGTTCATTAGGTGTCTTTCCGTCATTGTTTTTGTACTCTAATTAATTAATTGATCTATATCTCTGTATTCTGTCATTTTGTCATTTTGTCATTTTGTACCTCTTTGTTGTGTTTTTAATTGAGTCTATTTTGGTGGCTTTGTCTCCATTTTGGCTGTTTTGGTTGGTTTGTGTTCATTCCTTTTGTCTTTTTGCCTTTTTGTAGTCTTGGTGAATCCAGTTTGTGTCTCTGTTTTGTCATTTGAACCTATATTTGTATTCTGTTGTACATTATTCATTCTCGTAATCATTATGTGTTTGATTTTGGTTCTATCGTTTCTTAATAAAAATGTAGTATTTACTTTTTGGTTGTTTTGACCCTGTCTGGTCATATGTGTCTTTATTTTGTCAGTCTATTTTGTGTTCTCTTTTCTTGTTGCTGTTGTTGTTGTTGTTGTTGTTGTTTACACCTGTTTTTTGTTATTTAGTTTATCTTTGTGATTATTGTGTGCCTCTTTAGTATGTCTGTAATCATTTGATATCTCTTTGTAGTTCTTCTCCGCTCCTCTGTTGTTTTTGAACTCTCTTTTGGATGATATTCTGTTTTTTTTGTTGTTGTTATCATCGCCTAACATCTTTTTTCTAGTTGTTTTGTGTCTCCTTTGGGCTACTTGTACAATGTATTTATTCATTGTATTTCTCTTTCTGGGGGGCATTCCAACAACATAGCATGGAGTTCCTAATATGGAAAAGATTAAGATTAAGATTAACT